CTGGAGCTGTGAGTTTCCGGTGGACATGTTGTAGTCCTGTCATTAGCATATTTTAGTGTAGTGGACTATGATAGGTTCAAGCTCATTCTCGACATGCAACACTAAGCTGCTAGTGTTCTGTGAATCACTGTTTTGAATGTGCTGATAAAAACCTGTTTTTAATGCAGAATATATTAGACATAAATACAATTATATTATCACCATAAGCTGTTCAAGAGGAGTTAACCATTTAAAAACCAGACTGTCAATAATAAACACCATATAGTGGCTTGATTCCACCAAGAAATCAGGAATCAAACTTGTGTTGTTCTAACCCACTCACAACATATCAAGAACTGTACTGACAAACAACACATTCTGTTAACTTTCTTTTACTTTATTTATTTATGTTTGTATTTATTCTAATGTTATATAATGATTTTCCTGGCAAAGACATTTGTCTCAAGTGGCCAAAGACTTTTTATACGCAGCACTATATACATTCTACTGAAATAGTTCAAACTGCAGTCCCACAGTCAACTATGCAAAATTAAGAGTTCAGATCTTTACAAGGATTATGTTATAATCTATTTAAACCTAAGGCATTAATTCAGATAGTAATAAGGTAAATATATACAAAAAAATCATCATTTATAGGGTACTTTCTGTTAGGAGGTGTTTGTCCTAAACCCTAACAAATACATTTCAACTTATACAAATTCATGTTTTTTTTTCTTTTTTTCTTTTAAATTGAAGTTACAAGATTTTGATTTATCATAAGTTTATTTTTTATTCAAAATATGCTGTCCCACATTTCATGTGTTTTTTCAGAAACACAAAGAGTTGTAGTCCATAGGCGGGGCCTTTTTTAGCCACACCCCTGCATTTTAGAGTAGGAAGTGAGACTAAACCAGTTCAGTAGAATGATCCCTACAGGAGAAAAGTTTCTGAAAGTGAAACTCAAAATAGCACAGACTCGAATGATCAGGTTGTGTCCAGCAGACGCAGTTGAAGCCTAATGATGATACTGATTGATGTTGTGAGGAATGCTGTGTGATGTGTGATTGATATGTGTTGTGATGTGTTGTGTCCAGCTTATATTGTTCCTCAGGCCCCAAACCTATCCCTCAAGGCTGTTTCTCAATGTCTGAAACATCACTCAGACGACACTGTAGGCACACACATCTGTCCACTCGCTATTAATACCATGACTTACATGGAAGCAGTGACTGCCTGGCTTTGGCTGTTGCTCAGTGTTGGTTAGTTTGTTTTAAAAGTACACCAAGACTTGTTTTTCTGAAGAGAAGTAAAGCAAGCAGACCTGCAGATAGCTAGAAGAAAGGCATTATTATAACTATAAAGCCTCCATTGGGAGCTTTTAAGGCCAATTTCTCTCATATCACAGTGGTGTTTAGGTTCGTAGAGCTGAATTAAAGGGAAAGGGCTTTTTTCTTTTAAGGCACTCAGAAATTAGGCCTAGGACATTTCTTATAAAGCAAGAACTGTAAATGCGGATGAAGTCATTACAATAAACGTATGATTGTGTTGAATGTGTGGAAGAATATGAATGTGTGAATGTGGGATGGAGAGTTTACAGTATCTTCAGCTGCTGCCATGTATTTCCTGTTTTTCGTTTACTTTCTCTCACACTGTTTTCACACTTAGTTTGTTTGCTGAAGCTGACAGAGGTTTTTTGATTTGGTTTGATTTGTTTCGCACTGCAGTGGTTAAAGTGCATCAAATTATCAGGACCCAACTGTTATGAAAATTTTATGTTTGAGATCAATGCCAGTCTTAAGGGGCTTAAAATGCTGATAACTGATATTATTTTTTATAATATAAATAATATAATGTCATATTTTTATATTTTAATTTTTAATTGTATTCTCCAGTAATTTTACTTAAAGGAGAATTTCTAAATTCTGATTTTTCTAAACGTTTGCATAATTAAATGGTTAAGATATAAACAAAGTCATTAGTGTGAAATGCTTCATTCTAGGGAAACTTACAGAATCAGAATTGTTCACAGTGGCGGTGATAGGAACCAGACGTCTGAAAACGTCTTTAATGCCTCTAGAAGCTCCATCACAGAAAGTTGTTGCATGAAATGGTTATGACTACACTGTCTGATGCCTGAGACACTGTTTTGCGATAATCTTGAGAAAGCTTTAACCTAAAACACATTTTAAATCATTTAAATTCATGGCGGATGGCACATGCACGACATTGTGTGGCAAAACAGGTCCCTAAGGAAACTTTATTTTCTCAGATTTATATCTGTTTATATTGTTCATACATCACCATTCCCATGTGCAATATAATCAATTTTCCTTATACAATACTCCATGTGCAATTCAGCTGAAATATCCTTTCAGTTTCATTTTTTTAACTTCAGTATTACAAAGATTGTCTTTACAGCAGTAAGTAACCTGTAACTTTGTTAAGTAACAAGATTAATTACTTTGTTTGTTACTTCTCTTATTGTTACTTCTTTTCTTGAGTGCTTTGCTCTCCCTTTGCTGTTGTAGCACTATAAATTTCCCTGATATGGGACTAATAACGGATTATATTATCTTATCTTAGATTTTTCACTACTTTACCATCATCTTCATTACATATAAAACCTCAGAAGACACCTGCAGGTTCACTTGAGGTTTTGGATAACGAATGAATAGCTATATGTGTATGCCAGTTATGAATCTAATAGGGTGGCTATGACGTGCAATCCCCCAGGAATCGGTTCTCGGACCTCTTCTGTTTAATCTCTCTATGCTGCCTTTGGGCGAAATTCTACAGAACAGCAACATTGAGTACCATAGTTATGCAGATTGTACACAGATACATGCTTCTCTCTGAGTAGATGACCACAGCCCAGTAGACTCACTGTGTGGGTGTTTGGAGCATATAAATAATTGGATGAGCCAACATTATCTTCAATTAAATAAGAACAAAAGGCAACAAAGAGAAGAGAATTAGTGTTAGTGAATGAACATCTTGATTCTCGGACTCTAAAAACCAAAGTCCGAATTCTTGGGGTTCTTACAGACTCAGATCTCATCTTCACCATCTATATCAAAACACCAAAACAGCCTTTCATCATCTTTAAAATATAGACAAAATCAAGGGTTTGGTTTCCCAAAAAGACCTAGAGAAGCTCATTCATGCTTTTATCTCCAGTAGGGTGGACAACTGTAATGGTCTCTTAACTGGACTTCCTAAAAAGACCATTAAACAGCTGCAGCTCAGTCAGAATGCTACTGCTCGAGTTTTAACCAGGACCAAGGGAACAGAGCACATTACTCCAGCACTGAAATCTTTACACTGGCTCACAGTTAGCTACAGAATAGAGTTTAAAGTGCTGCTACTAGTCTATAAATCACTGAGTAGTTAATGCCAATAATGATATGTTTATAGAATATAAACCATGTAGGTCTCTTAGATCAATAGACTCAGGTCAGACTGAAATAGTTGAGCCCAGAGTCCAAACTAAACCTGGTTAAGCAGCATTTAGCTGTTACGCTGTATACAAGTGGGACAAACTCTGAGATTTTAGATGTGCCCTAAAAGTAGTGATTTTTAATCCACGTCAAAAACATTTCTCTGTTCCTGTACCTGTGCTTGAGCTCTAAAACTTGCACTTTATTCTTTCTGAACTTTACCCTCAATAAGCTAATTTTAATAACATGTAAGTCCTTTGTTTTAATTTCCTTTTATGTTTTTATTCTACTTTATGTACTTTGTACTTTTTTAAATTGCTTTTTAAAAGATGTTTATCTTTTGTTTTTCACTTTTAAGCACTTTGTCTTTATTTTTCCTGTTGATGTTCTTTTTTGCTTTTATTTATGTGAAGCACAATGAATTGCCTTTGTTTATAAAGTGTGCTATATAAATAAACTTGCCTTGCCTTGTAGACAGAGCAACCCCTGGTTTCTCTACGAATGACCGTTACTAGTCTAAAGTGGCACAAATCTGATGCTTTGCCTTGATGTGACACAGATCTGATTTTTTAGAGCCGTGTGGACATGCAAATTTAATTTTTTCAAACCACATATATGTCCCCTTGTGTATGGATACGTGTCTGATTCATGACCTTGCGACTTTAATGAGAACAGCCAGATCGGAATTCTGTGGGTTTTTTTCACTACGCGTGCAACATCATTCAGCATTTATGAGGCAGTGGCACCTAACCTGAAGTTAGTGCCTGTACACGGTATGAAAGCAAAGTTTTTTACATTCGTCTCGCTCTAATAATGAACAGCCGATAGCTGTTCAGAGCAAATTGTCTTTGCACAAAGGCTTGTTCTGCTGGTTAGTTAGTTTGTTGTTCATGTGGGTCATTTCAGGATCCAGGTTCGTTTTCTAAAAGGCTACAACCACAGCTTCTGTAGCAAGCAGCTGGGCTTCAGCCTGACTGTTAATACATCACTGCCCCCACTGGATATATTTTAGACTGTACTGATGAAAACTTAAATTTATCTTTAGTTCTAAAGATAATTATGTTTTTAAGGGTGATTTTGAGAGCGAGTATTTGAGTTCCGAAACACCAATGAATATTTGAAGCCTTTAGATTGTTCAGGTCACCCCTTACGCAAGGTGGTGGTGTTAGCCACCATGTTATCCAGCTGCTTTGTGAGTTGCATTTTTGCTTGAGGAATTCCATTTTGCTTAAAGAAGCTTAATACTTTCATACTCGCAAGACCAATGCGAGTTGCAAGGCTACTACAACTGCCCCCCACCCCCCACTCCCCCACAGAACCTACAACATGCATAAGACATGTATTAGCACTGTATAGTAAGCAGTATTTTATATTTATTGCAAATTTAAAGCAAATATTTGATGTATCGCCCAGCCGCATTTGGAGGTGGACTGTTTATTTATTTGCTGCACACCTGAATACAAGTGTTCACATTTGTCAGAAGAAACCGAATTAAAGAAAAAATTTAATCGGTCCAAACCAAAATATATGTAAAAGCTCTCTCTGCGTGTTGTTTTTAACAGCTTATTTGTCTCTGTCCTGCAGCTTTGGCCACCGTTGAGGACTTCCAGATCCGTCCTCATGCTCTGTATGTTCACTCATACAAAGCTCCGGCCTTCTGTGACGACTGTGGGGAGATGCTGTGGGGGCTTGTACGGCAAGGCCTCAAGTGTGAAGGTGAGTGCTGATTACCACTGACCTCTAACCTTGAGACAGCAACCGGAAAGTTCCATTAAAGGCTGTTTAAGACAGATAAGAGCAGTCTTAAGACTGAACCTGTACAGTCTGGACAAAATATTTTACTGCAATTACATCACCTCATATTTCTGTTTTTGATATTTAGGCTTGGGCTAACATCTTTTTAAATATGTGATGTTATTATGATCAATTATGCCACAGTATGCTTATCACAATACACTATTATCATAATAAACTGAGTGTATGATGGGTATCATCAGTACTTCTAGAGCGCTGAGCAGACGGATTGAGATCAGTTATGCAGAGCATGTAAACAAAAACAGTAGCAACTGCAAAAATCACATAGTAACAAGTACATTTTAAAGATTTGTCTTTGAAATTGCTTCATTTAAATGTGTTAATTTCACATGAATGAAATATCACATGAGCACAATTACTCATTTATTTTATCTACACTGTTGTTGGCAGGATTTGACAATTTAATGCTGTTTTTTCACAGTAAAATACTGTATTTGTCATACTGTAAATTTAAATAATCTTAGTATATTTCCTGTTATAACACAATGTTGATGGTAAGCTGTACAGCACAGCAGTATAGGCTATGACAGCAAGTGAGAGTTTTAAAGGCATAAACATTTGAATATATTTTGGAAATTACATGTGAAGTTAAACTGTCTGTGAAATGTGTATTTGCGTTTAAAAATGAGCTAATGAGCTAACAGAGCTAATGGATACCGCACTGGATGATGTCAGAGACTCATCAGCTACTTCTTAAAAGTTATCTTTTCTTGTCTGTATGCCAGCAAGCTTGTTAGAGAAGTTGTAAGCATTGAAAAGCAAAATAGAACGTCAATGAAAACCATTTTCAGATAAACCACTATTTTACCTCAGGATTACATATAAAAACTCATATAAAAACTATTACTTATAAAAACACACAAGACTCTTGCAGATCTATGGGTCATTTTAGTAAATAGTGCATAAAATGACCATATTTGTGTTGTAAGCATTGTGACACCTGTTTCCTATCAGCACCAGTTTAAGTGAATGAGTCAGTCGGAACTTCCACTTTTAACAAACAATATATTATGCAGCTGTTAATCGGACGTATTTGTGTACTGAAACAGAAGTTGCTTTTCATAGAAGAGCACCTCTGACAGTGTAACTTTGTCTCGAAAACTGTATGATGTAAGCACAAAAGTGGGCCATATTAAAGGGCTGTCTGTCCTGTCGTGAGCTGAGTCTCCATTAGCTTCCCTCTGCTATCCTGTTCCTGAGCTGGAATCAGAGACAGTGCTCCAGGACGCTTCCCCTGAGTGGGCGGCTTCCTGCCTGCTGTTTTCAAAATGGACAAAAGCTTTCATGTCCTGCAAAGCCACCGTTACGTGGAGGTCATTCTAAATTTAAGAGGTGGCTCTGTGGGTGTTCTTCACTGCGGCGGGTTTGTTATATCACTCGATTAAAGCGTCCATCCTGCTTCGAATAAAAAAAAAAAGTCATAATGGCTTATTTTATGATGGAGCAATTATAGCAAGTGCATTTAATTACAGTGTCACATCCGCTGAAGGCTTTTTGCTCTAATGATGCATGTGTGGTATTTGGGAAAGGTGACTGTAAGGCCACTAGTGGGTGCTGATGAGTATTCATATTTTACCCTGTGAACAATAACAGTTTCATAAGACAGTGTTTGTGGCACTAAATAGAGGGGAGAGAATGAATCTGAACATATGAGGCAGTTCTACTTATTTTAGGTGATTGATTTTAATTGTGAAACTGAAATGCTTGTTTTTGTGTTTTGCGTTTTGAAGGTTGTGGGCTTAATTACCACAAACGCTGCGCATTTAAAATCCCCAACAACTGCAGTGGAGTGCGAAAGAGACGGCTGTCCAACGTGTCCCTCCCGGGCCCCTCACTGTCGGTCCCTCGGCCTCCGGCCCCTGAAAGCGTGGTGGTATTCCCTGAGGAGGTACTTTCTCTCTCTCATACTCAGTTTCAGTTTAATAAACTTAAGTAAAATGACCGCTATCATGCCCATATAAGGACCTCTGGGTCTAAGCTGTTTTTCTGTGTGTTTTTTAAAGTTTTGAAAAAATTATTTCTTTTTTTTTGTTGTTGTTTTCGGTTGGTGTTTTAACTTAAAAAGTAAGTGACCTGGTTGCCTTAAAATGTTGAGTTAATTAAACTTCCAGTAGTAACTTAATGGAACAAGAATCTGTTTTATATTCTGTTAAATTATCATTTAAGTCCATTGATCTCAAAATTAAGTTAAAGAAGAGTTATTTTACAGTGCACTGTCACACTTCCAAACCCAATATGTTTTGTCCTGCAAACATGTTTCCTCCAAATGTTACTACATTTGAATTATGAGGTCATTATGGAGTTATGAATAATGCTCCATACATGCCACAAGCAGTCTAATTCTGCACTGAAATGATGTTGTATGAAAGTAAGTCTGTTGTTCAATTTTAACGCTGTTACAAACCAGCACCAGCTACTGCCAAAGCCTCTAAACTACGGCATTTGATAAAGCTTGCTGGTTTGTGTGGGGTATTTTGGTGAGGTTACCAGTCTTAATCAGTTTAATACTCATCAGTGGTAGCCTGCATGTAGCAACACTCTGGTTTGACTCTTCAGTGACCTTGTAAATCAGAGGATCCAGTGATAGTCAAGGTGAAAATGTACATACGGCGAAACGTACCGGCTTTCGGGCATTTTGTTTACCACAGGACGCAATAGCAGCAACTTTCAGAGATCCATTGCCAAAGCAGTTAGAAGACTAGGCCATGCAATATTACTACAGCAAATAACATAACAACAGAATCTTTGCATATAATACTGTTCAAAAAGTGTCACTCAAAAGTTTGCAATCACTGTTTTCAATTTAAAATGTCACTCCTTTTCAGCTAATTAGTCTATAAAATGTGAAGAAATGGTAGGTAGTTGGTCCAAAATTGTGAACAACATGTAGATGAATCTAACATGAGAAAGCTGTGTAACAGCTTTAAATAAAAAAGTAAATCAATCAAAAGAACTTGAAATAAAATATAAAACTAACATATAACATATAAAAAGAACATAGACTAATGTGACACAATTGACATTTGAAAATTAACAAATCTCATAGTAGATAAGTTGGCAAGAAATTTCTATCAATAGATAATTGCAGTATTTTATTTATAACTTCTTGTTGTTCCCAAAAAGCTTGAAATACTTAATACAGCATATATAATAAGAAATATGTTGCATTGCTAATGTATTTTAGTTTGTTACTTTGGATTTATGTGTTTTTATATGTTTTTATATGTTTTCTTTGAGTTTATATGTGTGTTGCAAAATCATGCCCAGCCATGGCCCGTAATCACAATATAGATACATATTACAGCAACACATTCATGTAAAAACACAAACTCTACACATTGTGATTAATTGCAGTTACATTTAAAATCTATGTCTGTACAGGCTGACTACTTAATCTGTATGATCAGACAATGTATTTTTTTTTGACGACGTGCCATCTCATCATTGATTCTCTCTTGCTCTCTCTCTGTAGCAGAGGCCATTATTGGAGGCTGGGAAGCGTATTCCGTCATGGAGCGGTCGGCCCATCTGGATGGAGAAGATGGTCCTGGGGCGGGTCAAAGTGCCCCACACCTTCAATGTGCACACATACACACGCCCCACCATCTGCCAGTACTGCAAACGCCTGCTCAAGGGCCTCTTCCGCCAGGGAATGCAGTGCAAAGGTACTGCAGCACAACTTTCAACCACAGTAGAGATACATGCTAAAATTAACTTATACCACAGTATAGAGACATGATAAAATTAACCCGTCACTACAGATACAATTTAAAATAACCTGGACCACAGCATAGCTACATGCTAAAATAACGCATACCGCTCTGTAGATGCTAAAACTTGAAGATGTCTGATAAAGCTGTTGGATATCACAATGACAGTATAAGAATAACTAAAATAACATACACAATAACAAACAACTAAAATGTATGTGTGTATATATATATACACACTCACAAAATTACAAAGCCTTCATTCACTATTGTGTAAAATTACAAGTACACACAGTGTCACTGATGCAAAGCACTGCTCTAGTGAAACATCAAACACTGTTTGACTGCTAATGGCACCCCCTTGTGGAGAACCTGTAGCCTGTAAAACATATATGTGTATATATGTTTTACAGGCTACATATATAATGATAATATCTTGCCTGACAGGCAATATACAAACACACACACACACACATATATATACATATACATACATATATATGTGTGTGTGTGTGTGTATATTGCCTGTCAGGCACCAGATATTATTATGTATACTGTAGAGCCTTTTTAATTTTAGAGAGTGCAACTGATGTTTACTTTGTGTGCATCATTACCATACAGCACTTCATCATAAATGTTTATATTACTGCTAGTAGCACACTTTGCCATTTAAATTTTCAAAAACATACTTTATTTTGAATGTAGAAATATGTAGCAATAACTCATATTAGCAGGAATGCACAATGTAATACTTTAGTGAAGAAATATTTATGTTCCCTCATTTAGCCAAATAAGTAGAAGCAGTCTTATAATGTATAATGATGTTCAGCAGTAAAGATCTGATTTCTCTATTTCAGATTGCAAATTCAACTGCCATAAGAGATGTGCATCCAAGGTACCAAGAGACTGCTTGGGTGAGGTTGTGTTCAACGGAGGTAAGCAACACCCCCTTCTAACAGAGAGTCTAAATTGAAATTAGCCCTAAGCCAAGTAATATATAGCATGGGAGGCTGTCTGTTGGTTGGTGAGTAAGTAGTTGCAAGTGTGAAACAGTGAGGTTACAGTTATAGAGCAGTGCAGTCTAGGAGTAGCACTGAGCTGGCTGGTGTGTGTGTGTGCTCATGTTTTTCAATTTTTTAGCACAAAATGTCCTGACTTTGAAAGAAATTCTAACCCACAGGACCAACAAAAATGCTGCTGACTTTGTAAAGTGTTTTTTTACAAAATTTCCATATTTCCGTTTTTAAGATTTAAAAAAAGTCTTGTGTCATAGGCAAATATATATATACATATATAGGGGTGGGGGGGGAAAATCGATTCTTAGATGCATCGTGATGCGGACATGGACAATTCTGAATTTATTCACAAATGTCAAAAATCGATTTTCTATATTTTAATTTATAACGTAGTGTGTAATTCTGACTGAGGCGACGAATGTAAATGCGGCACCATTAAGGTGGAACGGGAAAATTCGAAAGAGGAGTTGACTTTTTAGTGTTTGACAGTCTCTCGTTGCAGATTTCATGTTGCAGGAAACCAACTGCGCTGCTTATAAATGCGAATAAGTCCATTCATCTCCAAATGTTCGTCTTAAATCTCTCTCTTTGCCTTTTCGTTAGCCAGGCGAGACTGCATTGATATGTGACTTGCAGTCTACACTCCAGTTCTCTGTCGTTGAGAACCAGGGCTTTCGCGCTATGTTGCACACGTCCCGTCTCGAAGATATTTTACTGACACAGCGATCCCCCAACTCTCTACAACGAGACCAAAACCGAAGTTATAAAATCACTGAAGAAAACGGATAGGACGGCTGTAACGTGCTGCGTGGACGTCCATTGCCACAGTATCTTATTTCACTTATTCTCCTAGTTCACTTGCTCCATCACTTCCATTTAATTTATTAATAAAAGATATTGGAAGTAAATTCATTATGGATCATTACAAATACTTTGCTTTAAAAGTACCAAATCCTTACACAGTGAGGAAAAAAGAAATCCAGTATAGAAAAATTATGCATCAGGATGCATCGATAATCGTTTTATAATCGCATTGCAGCCCTCTGAATCGTAATCGAATCGAATCGTGAGGTGCCTAGAGATTCCCACCCCTAGTATATATATATACACACACACACACACACACAGACACACACACACATATGGACATCATATAATTACATATAATGTTTTGCATATATAATACACATGGGCAATGTTATTATTACATGTAATTACTTAAATATATTTAATGCATATGATACGAACTATTATTTGGGTACTTATATAATACTATGGTAGACATACAAATTTGCACTTGCCACTCAGACCACGAACCTAATGAATCTTGTGGCCAAAATTAGGAATTTGAGTTTATTGTGTATAAATTGTAGTTACAGTTAACAAACATGCTTCAGTACCAGCAACCAGGTGCTGCTTTGAAAGAGGAAATACTTAAAACTTTACATTATAAAGAACATTGCTGTGATGTTAGCTCTCGCCATGGTCACAGTTAGTGAATTCTAACAAAATCTGATTTGATACTGTGTCTGACTAAATGCTTGGGAGGTTGAAAAGTAGTTATTTTTGTTATTAATGGTGGATATTTGTGAATGAATGAAAATTCACCTGAAAATTCTGGTGGTTTGTTAAAACAGAAAAATGCAGTAAAATCTCCAGTTTGAGTGGCCACTCAGGTGACAGGCTTTGCATTTTTAGTGACCAAAATGTGAAACAAGCGGCAGCGGGCAGTAGGTAATATCGAGCGTATTGTACATGTGAGCCGTATATGACTCCATGTCCTGATATTTTATAAACAGAGCTATGTGTTTGTGCAGAGCCAGCAAGTCCAGGGCCTGACTCTGAGGTCACTATGGAAGTGGACAGCAGTGACGCAAACAGTGAGGCCAGTCGTGTAATGGACGATGCTGAAGAGGTTTCCAATCTGGAAGACAAAAACTTCTTCATGGACGCTGCATTCATGGACGGGGAGAAAGATGAGGAAACAGTGAAGGCCATCAGGTAACAATGTACTCCCTCCTGCTCACACATTCTGCTTAATCACTAGTTTCTTTTTAAAGATTCCTAAAATCATACATCTTAACCTGAATGAAATTCTTGATTCTTAAAAACATTTTATTTGTACATTAAATGTAACTACAGGCATGCAGTACACATGCGGTAAAAGTACAATACAGGAACTGCTTCAGAAGAACAGTTCAACAAAACGCTTTGCTTTAAAGTGATAGTTCAGCACAAATTGACAAAGTACAGTCTTAGCTGTGCTTCACAGTTTTGTCCATGTTTGTAGATAACAGTATTTTATATAGTGTCAGAAAGCACATAAGCAAGTCTATGAGAGACTACTTAAAGGGGAATTCCACTGATTTGTCAAAGTTTTTTGTGTAAATCAATCCTTGAAATTTATATAATGTTATTCAGAGTGGTTTGATGTAAAATGTTTCATTGTAGAGAAACTTGCCAACTAAAATTTTCTTTACAGTGGTGGTGATAGGAGCTAGACGTCACAAAATCTGCAACACAAATATAGCCATTTTATTTACTGTCCAAAACCGACAGTGAACCTATACATATCTTCTGAGATTATATATGTAAAGTTGATGAAAATAGTGTTAAATCTGAAAAAAAAATTCTTTAGGGACTATTTTGCCATAAAACATCGTATGTGATCTTCTCCACCACAAATACTTCTAAGGCCAGAGCCCTCAAAACTATCATAAAACAATGTCTCAAGCATCATTTGTAACCATTTTTTGTAAAAGCTTTCTATGAGGGAGCTCACTTGAGATGTCCACTTCGAACAATTTGAAGTCAGTAGGTTTCTCTAGAATAAAGCATTTCACATCAAACCTCTCTGAATAATTCTATATCTTAACCATTTAGCTATTCAGAAATTTTGGAAAATTGGTGGAATTCCCCTTTAAAAACACTCTAAGGCAAATATGTGATGCATGGTGCTAATCAATAAGGTATAAGCTTCTATCACTTGTTAGCTACATTAGCCTTGTACCTCCAGTGGAAATCTAAAGAAGCAAACTTTAGACACCAAATATGTCTTGACTGATGGAAAAACTGTGTAAATTCACAAACAGCTATAGAATGTCTTTTGTCAGGGCTGTATTGCGTGTTGAGTTTCGTCTATGAGTTTACGTGGGGCGGCATGCCTCATTCTGCTTTACAGCAAATCACACAGCAGTGTCTGTACAAGTCCAGCTGGCAATCAGTGCTGTGTGTAAACAGCATGGTCTTCGGTGTTATTTAATTTAATTCAATATTTAATTGTGCTGTATGGTTTGGCTCACAGCTTGCAGTGCGTGACTGATGTGTGTTTGTTATTCTCTAACATGCCGTCCTCTCTGCAGTCCGTCCACCAGCACCAACATCCCTCTGATGCGTGTGGTTCAGTCCATCAAACACACCAAGAGACGCAGCTCCACCTTGGTGAAGGAGGGCTGGATGGTGCACTACACCAGCCGAGACAACCTGGTGAGACTTAAGCTCAACCTCAATAATAGACTCCCATAAAAACTGTATATTCAGAAACACATATTTGAAAGTGGTTATCATTTGCACATGTATTAAATATGTTACATTAACACTGTCGACTCAAAACTGGGGACGCACGATGATATCAGAGTCATATCAGCAGATAATTGCTAAAAATAAATTATTTGATTGATATTTAAAATTGATAAAAAGTATTTATTGTACTCCAGAAAAGCAGACTATTAAGGTGGCGCTGGGTTAATTTGCTAAAATATCTGCATTTTATTTATTTTACTGCATTTGTAACTCTACAAAAATAAATGTTATTTTTCTCCATATTGCTAATCCACATTAACTTTAACTAAAATTTAAACCTGGCTGTCTCAAAACTTCAAGTTCATTAAACATCAGATATAAAGTTAAACGAACAATAGTTGTGTGTGTTACAGTCTGTTAATTATTATCTGAAGTAGTAGTGAGTAATATGGTGAAAAATTTACATCACCGCATTATTAAGATTTCTGACGGTTTTGTATGTATCACAGTATAGTGTATTTACAGATATTTTTATCAAATTAAACCATGTTGGATGCTTAAGTAAAGCTGATTTTGTAGACTAACAATCCTGTGTTATTATGGGACTTTTAATAAGAATCACTTTTAATAAGAATCATATTAAACAACTAAATTAATTAAATCTGAAATACTTTTATTGGGAGAAATAGTAAAAACAGAAATGAACATCTGTGTAGATGGATGTCAGCATTGCTTTCTAATCCTAGCGAGATAAAGGCGAGTGCATGTAAGCACACATCAGCTTCTCTGGCTCGGCAAAAATGGTGCTGAATGTTGTTTTAAGTTCAAGTTTCTCAGATCATTTGTCTCATACATGTGTCTCTTATACTCAAGCTTATATCTGTGAGCGCCTGGCGCCGGTGGAATTTGGAAAATATTACAAGCTGCTCACACTATCAGTATTCACTGAGAAGCGGCAGAGCCTCTCGGCTTGCAGTAGCGAACAGGCCCAAGACCACAGCATAGTCTTAAGCAGCTGACCGAGTGAGGGGCACTGTAGGCAGTGAGCATGGAAAGCTGGCCAATCTCCATGCTAGGCTAAAGGCTAACAGCTAACCCCCTTTAACTCAGTGACTCATTACAGCCTGATGTCTGCTCTTTCAGCAATACACTGGACTAACCTACTTCAGATTGCATCTCATTACACGGGGGGTGAAGGAATTGGCATGTTTTGCACTATATGTATGTTGAATTATCTGCATTTATTTGTTACATACTTTTATAAAGGTAATGACAAAACTCAAAACTTATCATGAATTACAACCGGATAATTTGAAGATCAACAAAATTCAAAATTGAGTGCCACATTATGTAATTTTGGGAATTCGGAGACCTCTCTGGTGGAAATGAGTGATTGCACACAACTTGTGGAAGAACAAATTGTAATGCGGGTTGTGAGCGGAGGAATCTGATGATTGCAAGTGTGTTGAAAGAGTATTCATAGAGAACTCAGTCAAAACTTAGTGAAGTGCATGCCTTCTGAGGACGTGAGTGAATTATCTACTGTTGTCATCATATCTTTATCAATGTAATGTTTATTTTGCATTTGGTACCTAAAGGTTGAGCCGGACATTCTTTTTGAGTCTGTACATGTGACGTTAATACGTAAAGCTTTATGGAATCTCTGACTTTCAGGCTTTACAGTCCAACATGCAGCAGTGAATGCTCTCCATATTTTATTTTATTATATTTTTATTTCAACTAAAACTAAAAATAAGAAATATGAAAAGTTTAACATTAACATTATACATGACGTCTGTTAATTCAGTTGTGATTTTACTCACTACCAGTTGTCTTACAGAACTGTACACTGTGCAAATTTGCCATCTTTTTGTTTGATGTATTTTCACGTGTAGCTCTGCTTGGATTTGTTTGGCTTAACATGAGACTCAATATCAGCTGCTTGTGTCCCCACATTCTCTGCTATAACACACACTCAGTCAGACACTCTAAATTACACATGCCTATGTACATAACCAGAAAAAAAAACAGACATTGGTATACAACAATAACCACGCTAATCTCTTGTTCTGTACAGACATTTTAAGTTGAAGTCGGTGAATGTGAAGTTAGTGGAACATACATATTTTGGAAAGAATTTTGGTTTTGTGTATGAATTAGACACAGAGTGAAATTTTATGTAGTTTATTCAAATATCACCATTATTTCAATGTATATAAAATGTTTTACATAGACATATTCACATTTGAAGTAATTCATTGCATCACTTCATGTCAGTGCACTGATTTTTGTTTTTCAGAGGAAAAGACATTACTGGAGGCTAGACAGCAAGAGTCTCACCCTTTTCCAGAATGATTCTGGAGCCAAATACTACAAGGTAAACCTGTGTTTGTCTTTAAAGCAACAGTATGAGTGAGTTACTTGTGTAACAGTATATCTCTTTACTTTCCTGATGGTTTTAGAGCATTTACTGCAGAATTTTGGAACTGTCAAAGTTATGAGTCTCCTCTGTAACATGCTTTATGAATGAGTTGAACACTGATTGTGTATATGATATATGTAATATGTGCACTCATTGGTTGGAACATGCAGCCACTGTTGCTCTCACTGGATGCCAGTGATAAAAATAATAAATAAATTCTGCTGAAGCTTATTTTGTCCTTCATATATAACTATAACAAAATTTACTGCTTTCATAAATGGAAAAAAGTCAGATTTGAGCAAATTAGACATATACAATCAATCACAATTAATTATATTAGAAAAAAACACTGTAAATTACTGGCTGCTAGTTGGAGTACTTTTACAGTAATTTACTTATTCATATTAACAGTAAATAACAGTACAATAGCAACTGTATACTGTGGCTTCACACTCACCCCTATACCATCACGGATGCTGGCTTTTAAGCTGTGTGCTTATATTAAGCTGGTTGGTCCCTGTCCTCTTTAGCCCGGAGGAAGAGGACGTGGCTTCCATGATTTCCAAAAACAATTTCAAATTTTGATTTGCTGGACCACAGGACGCTTTTCACTTTGCCTCAGTCCATCTTAAATGAGCTTAGGCCCAGAGAAGGTGGCGGTGTTTCTGGATCCTGTTTATAGATGGTTTCTTCTTTGCATGGTGGAACTTTAACTTTTATTTGTGGATTCAGCAACAAATGTTGTTCACAGACAGTGGTTTAATGCAGTTTAATGCAGTGCCAGCCCTAAGTTCATGGCCAGCCAGTATTGGTTTTGGGCCATGTCTCTTGCAAACAGATTTCTCTGGATTCTCTGAATCTTTTAAAGATATTGTGTACTGTATGTGATGAAATCCCCAAGTTTTTTGCTGTTTTACATTGAGAAACATTCTTGAATTGTTGCACTACTTTTCCTGCACAGTTTTACACAGTGGTGAACCCCTCCTCATCTTTACTTCTGAAAGACTCAGTCTCTCTGGGATGGTCTTTTCATACCCAATCATGTTACTGACCTGCTGCCAATTAACCTAATTAGATGTGAGATGTTCCACCAGGTGTTCTTTTTAGCATCACACAACTTTACCAGTCTTTTGTTGCCCCTGTCTTGACTTTTTCGAAACATGTTGCTGGCACCAAATTCAAAATGGACATACATTTTTGAAAAAACAATAACATTTCTTAATTTCAACATTTGATATGTTGCCTTTTGTACTGTTTCCCATTAAATATAGAATTAAATGATTTGCACATAATTGCATTCTGTTTTTCTTCACATTTTGCTCACTGTCCCAACATTTTTGGAGAAAGGGTTGTAATTGATTATCGCCATATTCAGTAACATATGCACTCAACATAAATGAGACCGTCAAAAAATGCTGCTATTATTGTTTTTATAGTCTGTGTTCCACTGTGTTAATAGTTCCACCAGTCGTATTTGTGTTTTCACTTTATTTAAAAAATCAGAATTGTGCCATAATATTAGCTTCACACCTTTATGAGTGGTTATCAAATCCTATTTAAAACTCTTGATATGAACTGTATGGTGTTTCTTTTTTGTTTTTTGAAGAAGGTTCTGGCTGTAATTGTGGAGCTGTAGAATGTGTGGGGCCAGTCTGATGGACTCCTCAAGATCTATTTATATAATTCGCCTACTGTAACTGTTAAAATATCCAGACTGCTGTCTGTCTGAGACATTTTTTACTCCTCTCCCACAGACAGGCAGGGCTAAGGGTGGACTCTCTCTCTCTGTCTCTCTCTTTCTCTCTCTCTCTCTCTTTCTGTCTGTCTGTCTCTCCTCCCTGCTCCTATCTCTCTGCTCACCCTGTCTTTTATGATAGTGAAGGCTGCGACCTACAGAGCTCAAAGCTAGTCTTAGGGACACTCTCTGAATACAATTTATATCTTGTTTATTTATTACTTTTCAGGATACATTAATCATTTATTCGTTTGTATCTATCAGAAAAGTTCAAACAACCAGCAATAGCAACCACGTTTACTAACTAAAACTCTAAATTAACCTGTAATTAACTGAAAACTTAAGTAAACATGTAAACAGAGTTGAAACATTAGTGGAATAAACATCAGTGTCTCTGTTCTTTATCTAGGTCAGTATGTAGTACTGTATTTAGGCCAGTATTTTGTTAAACATCCCTTCTTTTGGATGACAGCTTGAAGTTGTCTAGGCCTGGAGTGAATTAGATTGCACAACCGGTGCTCACCCAAGCTTCTTAGATGTTCTCTTCTGCATATATCTGTATTCTTTTTCATTGGCATTAACCAAGAGACAATATTTTTGACAGATTCAGATATTTGCCAATTCAATTCAACTCAATATTTCTAAAGCAGTATGTTCCTATAGTAGCACTGGAAATCTCTGATTTGAACATTTTCTGATTTGAACCATTTGTTTTGAAGTAAAATGGGGGTGTTAAGTGAAAGTTTTCTAGTTTGCTATTGTTCAGTTGGACCCAAACATTGATTGGTAAGTTATAATGTAGCTGAAATAATGTACTTTGAATACAGTAAAGATTTCCATAATACATCAACAAATTAAATCATTCTAAAACCATATGATGAAGATAAAAGCACCTCTGATTACTATGTTAGGTTTTCAGAATGGCACCCCTCCTTTGAAGTGTGCACAGGAAATTGAAGACAAAGAGCAAGAGAAACTGTATAAATTGTTAGGAGAGGGGTATTACGCTTAGTTGGCTGGCAAATATGAACAAAAATGTCAGCTTCTGTGTGCAGACACAGGGAAAGTGGGTTGGCACATTGATATGGTACCTTTGGCGGCTTTGGTTTTTAATGTAATGTAGCAGTTAAAAATATATAGTTAGAATAGTAAAGTTTTATACAGAACTGTGCAAAAGTCTTAGATACCTAAGCACATGATTTAAAACTACTCATCTTGGCAATAAATGTATTGTGTAAGTGTGTTGTAACTTGGTGTGGTCCTACCAATAAAGCTGCTTTTAACTGAACCAGTTTGAGAGAGACAGAGATAGAGAAGTTGAAAAGAGTTAAGCCCTTAAAGTTAAAACAGATTTTTCGTCATCTCTGGATACTTTAATGGCTGAGATGCGAACACAGATCATTCAGAGTGGTTTGATCTGTAATTATTTGTTAGTAGAGAAACTCACCTACTCACCTTACAGTGGTGGTGATAGGAACCAGGGGTCACCATAGAGATTTTATTGTCTATTGTCAAAACCACCAGTGAGTCTTCTGAGCTTGTTCATGTTAATAGTAAAATAGTGGTTTTCTCTGGGGACTATTTTGCCTCAGAGCACCCTGCATGTACTTCTCCACCATGAATGGGTTTTAAAATATAGATTAAAAATATAGATTAAAATATAGATTTTGTCCCAAAACCTTCTCAAAACTATCAGAAAACAATGTCTCAGACATCAGGCAGCATATTTGTAACTATTTCATGTAATAACTTTCTGTGACATAGTTTTTAGAGATGTTAAACTCATCTGGTTCCTATCACCACCACTGTGAACAATTCTGAGGTGGTAAGTTTCTATAGAGTGAAGAATTTTAAATCAGACCACTCAGAATGACTTTATTTACATCTTACCCATTGAATTAAGCCGGAATTTTGAAAAATCAGTGGAGTTCCCTATTAGGCTCTAAGGATCGGTGTTGATGTTTCTGTTCTTTACTGACATAACTATGTGACTTATGTACAGTTGTATGCATAAGTTTGAACACACTTGGTCAAATTACATGTTTTGTTTATTTAAATGTTTTTTGAAGTGAAAAGAAGTTTAAATGTCCTCTACAGGGAACACATTTAAATATGAAATTTTCTGCACATTTTAATGCACAGTTTCTATTTATTTGTTCAACATACTGGAAAATATAACGTGCCATAACATTTGCACAGGCCACATATTTGTGTTATTTTTTCCCTGATGTATTAAATTCAGCAAATTAAATTTAAGTAAATTAAAATTTGCAGAAGTGTGTTCTCTGTAGAACATCTTTTCACTTAGAAAACCAACAAAACATGGAATTTGAGCGGGGCCCAAACTTTTGCATGCGACTGTCCTAGTTTCATAGTTAATTCAATTCACTGTAGCTAATTCGTAGTAGTTACAGAACAGTAAGTCTTAAGACTAGAAACTGAATAGACAGCCTGCAGTTTAAGGGGTTAAAGAATCCCATAAGCTGAGGGTGGGGGTCTCTCCAGCCCAGGCGAGGTTTCTGGAAGTCCTCCAGCGTGGCTCGTGCCGGGCTCTGTGGCGTCCCGTCCTGCCCTGTAATCAGTGCAGCTCTACCCTCGCCCTGCAGCCTGTCATGTGGCGCTCTGGGCAAACCACAGGCATCGTGGCCCAGCCTGCACCAGGCCCCACGCTGCAGTCTGCAGGCCACTCGTCTCTGATTGGCTGGCCCACAGTGCTCCTCCACTCTTAAATGGGTTTCTCCTCATGGGCGGGTTGGCCCGAAGGAAGGAAGGTGGAATTGAGTGCAATTGAAAAGAGCCCGCTCAGTTGATTTCTGAGAAGGAGAGCAGAAAGAGTGAGAGAGACAGAGAAGAAAAAGCCAGAGCTGAAGAAAGGCAGCCTCAGTGTGTCTGTCCATTTGGATTTTATTCTAGCAGACCAGCTTTCTTTCTGAAGAAATACTAGAAGAACAGAGCTTAGCCTCTGCTGCCTGTATGTGTTTATATTTCTGTAGATTTATTTGTGCTATTAAGAGGCTGTTGTCTTTTAGCTCATTCTTACAGTTTCTCTGGGTACTTAACATCAGTTTGGCTTCTGCTGCACATTTTGTGAGCTGCTCTGCATAACAGTGTCCACTAAGTGAAGAACTGTAAATGTGTGTGTGTTATACAGGAGATCCCCCTGTCGGAGATTCTTCAGGTGGAGTCTGCGCGGGACTTCACTAGCCTGGCTCAGGGAGGAAATCCACACTGTTTTGAGATCATCACAGACAATATGGTGTATTATGTCGGGGAGAACACAGGCAGCCTGCAGCCGCACCCCAGCCTGGCGGCGAGCGGAGTGGGGATGGAGGTGGCTCAGAGCTGGGAAAAGGCTATCCGCCAGGCCTTAATGCCCGTCACCCCACAGCCCAGCGTCTGCAGCGGCCCGGGACAGGGCAAGGACCACAGTGAGTAACACACACACTGTCTTAGGGACTCTAGCCCTACTGGATCTGGATTAGTTTAACCTGGGGAGGCACTGCAATTTAATTTTTAGAACAAGATCCCTAGGCAGGTCACAAGAAATACATAATCGGCTGATGGCAATTATTTTAGATGACTGAAGTTATTTTCCACAGGTGTTAGCTTTCACAATCATGTTTACATCACATCAAACAGAATATTTGTGTGTGTTTAAATCAGCTGAGTTGAAAACGCTTTTATCGAGACACATTTAGCCTTATGAAAAACTGAAGTTCTAACTTCTAAATAACTGGGTGCTGTAACAACTTAAGATGGCGACAGTGAGTAATGTTTGTTTATTTGAGGTTTGTTAATAACACCTTTAGAGGGCGGTGATGAGTAATGTTTGTTTATCTGATGTTTGGTAACATTTTTAGAGGGCGGTGGTGAGTAATGTTTGTTTATTTGTGCTAGATCTGTGTCTGTTGTCAGTTAAAAGTGTTCAGTGTCAACAGGTAGGAAGCAAGATAATTAGCCAATTTGTCCACTTTTTTACTTTAATTAATGCATGCAATGAATTAATAAATAAATGACTATTTGCAATTTTTTATGTGGAAATTAATTATCAACTAAATTTCATAATCATGATAAGCCAACATGTCACTGATTTTAATCCAGTATGAATCTGCAATGTGTGTAGTTTTTACAGTCTGACAGTAAAAATTGTGGAGTGATTTTAAATCAGTATGAATCTGCAGTGTGTGTGGTTTTTACGATCTGACTAATAATTGTAGAGTGATTTTAAATCAGTATGAATCTGCAGTGTGTGTGGTTTTTACAGAAATAATTGTGGAGTGAATGTTTTCTGTAATTGGGTAAACCTAGAGCTCTATAAGTAGTAGTAGTCCTGTTACATTCCACCTCATACTAATGACATAACAAAAACTGCTAAAACATATGCCTGTATTGTTATTGTTGTTGACTGTTTTGGGCAGATTTGTTGACATTGTGACGCTCCAGTACAGATCTACATCCTGCTCGCCTTTACCTGAACCAGAGTGGGCACTGTAGATGCTGAGCTGACCATAATAATTATCTGATTTTGACAGTTTGTAAAAAGGGACTATCATTTCAACAAAACAGAGCAATATATTTCAGTTTTTCATGAAAGAAATAGCCTTGAGGGTATAATCACTCTTTAAAAGTGAGGAGAACATTTGCAGGGGTGAAGCTCGAAGCTCAGTGTTTGGTTTCTATCCTTCCATCTTGTTTTGTGAGCATTTTTTCTCACCCATCCCACATCTGGGAAGGTGGTTCACTATAGGACTCTTTATGGAGCATCTCACTGTCCCTGAAGGAGAACACTACATACTCAACTTCACCTACAGGACAAACACTGCAGTACTACAGTCGCACAAGAGCGCACCATTCTCTTCTAATGAGCTGCTTTCTTAATGAGAACTTATGTTAGTTCAACATTATCTCTGTCTGATGCATCTGTAGCTCACAGTTGGTTTCCAGTTGCACAGTTGTTTCCCTTCAGTTCAAAAGAACTGAAAACCTGTTGACTTCAAACATTTATAGGAGAAGCCAAAGGGCAGTTGCTTCAATTGAACATATGCTACAGATGTGGCAGATAGAGATTAGGTTGAAAAATGCTGGAGTATTCCTTTAAGTCTGTCCAACATGATGAGACAATGGAGTTTTAAAGAATTGAGGACAGTCGTGTTAAACAGTGTTATCATGAAAACCCAGTGCCCAAAATGATAGTTATAGAATAGTATGACCATGGCCACTTCTAAAACTTCAGTAATTTAAGGTTTTTGTTTTTGTTTTGGTTTGGTTTTCATCCTTTCAATCATTATCAAATTGCTTGGTTCCGGACAAAACCCACAACAGAAAGAGTGAAAAGATATTTCTCTGACAAACTAACATGTTGGCACATCCACTGTAGAAAAAAATACCTTGTGTGGAAAATGACAAGGCGTCATCAGCATCCGGTGTTGTACTGGTTAGATCTAGTGTTAGCTCATTATCTTATCTGAAGAGGCAGCCTCTGTTACATTGTTCATCCAACAATTAGTGAATAATAACAGATGTTTTCAAGTTTATTCCTCTTACAATAATTTTTGTGCTGTGACCTAAAAAGGTAAGCCTACAGCCTTACATTCAGACTGCATTATGTAAGGTTTTTTGTTAAATCTAAAAGGCATAACAGTACTGAGTCAGGAGTAAAAAACACACTAAAATATGGTGACCGTGCGCTGCTACGAGTCACTCTGAAAAGCCTGAAATAACTATTTAAAAGTCAGAGGTGTCAGGTCAGGAGTTTTTCACACCTCGTCATATGTCTTGATGTATTAACGTCACAAGCGCAGGCAAAAAGAAGGTCCGGCTCAATGTTTAGGTCTCAAATGCAAAATCAGCATTATACTAAAGAAGATTTGATGACAACAGTAGATCATTCACTTATATCCTCAGAAGACACGTCCCTTACCAACTTTTTGAGTTCTCTTTGGGTGTTCTTTCAGTGCACTTGCAGTCATCACATTCATCCGCTTGGAAGGGGTCTGAAGCACAACCCACGTTACAAAATATTCTTCCACACATTTCATGCAGTTACAAATTTCCACCAGAGAGGTCTCCAAATCCCCAAATCTTACACAGTATTGCTTTAATTTCAGCTGAAGTTCCTGCATTTAACCATTAATCAGTTTATCAACATATCAATTCAACATCTGGTGATTTTGTATCTTAAAGTACTAATATCTAATCAGCTTCTTACTCTGCAGTCTTAATCTGACAGTGTGACATTACTGGTTGTAGTATACAGACTATCTACAACTGGTTTTAACCTCTATTATGGAGCATGCAGTCAGACATTGTTTTAGAAATGCTGATGATATATATGATGTTATTGCATTAACGATAGCTTATTGTCATAATGGTCATCATTAGCAGTAGCATCTTTGGCACTACTTATAGTAGTCACTAAGTAAGAAGTCTTGAGCTTAGTAGCTTAATAATGACCCTGCACTTTAAAGAATTAAGATACTTACTTCAGAAAATCAAATAAAAAAATAAACAAATAAATAAATCACCACATAATGCCAGTATAACTGCAAACGTAAGATGTATTCAGATTTGCCCTGTCTGAGCACTGGGAGTTGCCCGCTAATGTGGATTGCTCTGTCTCTAACCTTGACCTATTCAGCACTCTGGCAAAATCAATAGTTCCCACAGTCCACTCAATATTACAGTGACCTTGCCTGCCCTGTAGAGTAACTGTCATGTGGAGTGACCGTTGTCATTTTGGTTTCGTAATGCTTATAGATTTTTAATGACATTGGAGATTGTCCATTAGATATACAAATTAAGTCTAAGACCTGATTGATCTCATTGGTTTTTGTGTTTAAGAAGATCATTTTCTAAATACTGGAATACATGTAGCTTCAGGCCTGGGGATTCCTATACATTAGCTTAAATGTAGCTAAACAGCCAAGATGTGTTTGTTGTCTGAAGTTTGCTTTCTTAGTTTTGGTTAGTGTAGCTTACAAGTATTTGAATATTTGAAACCTCTACTACTCCACATAGCATTGCGCTAGCTGCACAACCAAATTATATGTTTAGTGATTAAAAAATCTTAAATTGACTCAAATGAGATTAATGGGTTGGTTTGCATGTTAGTATCCTCTCCAGTATACTCTATAGGTAAGGAAGATTGTAAGGAGTAAAGGAGATTCACTTTTCGTCCTTTTGGAGCACAGAAAAATTTTACAAACTGAGGCTTTGCGTCTGATTTACTGACTTTTTGTATCAGCACAAACTACACTCGTATTCTGCTCCTTTACTAAAGTTTGGGTAACCACAAACAGACTTTTAAATCCAGGCACAGTGTCTCAAAAGCATTTTCTTTTAAAGGAGTGTTTCTGCGAAAAATCTAATTTACACAGTTGTAAATTACCACTTACCCCAGATGCAGTCAGTCCCCCAAAACATTTGTTGAGTTTGTTGTTCAAACTTTGCTTCTTTAGTTTAGAGCTGAAACTACAAGGCTAATGTTGCTAACAAACACTGGTCAATACATCTTCATCATTTACATGTAAATACATCTTCAAAACTTCTCTCAGACCACACCCAGCTCTTCCTTAAGGTTGTGCAGATTTTTCGATGTGGTATTGGATGCAGTATGCTTTCCTGTAAGTTAATAAAATGAAAAACACTTAGCTGAGCACAGAGGGCAAGTCCACATTACCAAGTCTGCACAACCATAATGAAGACCTGAATGTAGTTTGAGTGGGTTATGAGAACCTTTGGGGTTGTATTCACAGAAAAGATTCTGGTGACTATTGGCTTCTAGTGTTTGTTAGCCTCATAGCACCAAACGTGTCTTGACTACATCTGGAGTAAGTGGAAAATTGTGTTAATGTGATTTTTTAGCGAACCACACCTTTAGCAATAGAAGCCACCATAGCAACTAGACTCCACCATAGCAAACGAGTCTCGAGCCTCAAACCCTTGATGAGGAAAAATTTACCATCAAAATACCACTTTGATCTCTTCATCTCTGTACATGTGTGAGAAGACTCAGCACAGAAAGTGTCTTGATGCAGCTGCTATTGCCCTGGGTGTCTGGGCATTTAATATGACGTGACTCATAAAGAGAGAAGCCGTTTTTTAGTTTACTTGTTCTACAAATTTAACAAATATAGGGCCGGATTTACTAAATGAAGGCACTAGTTGCAGACAGACCTTCGGGCCTTTGTGCCTCTGGACATGTCCAATTTAGCAGCTTGTTTACTAAGATCTTCCATGAAAATTAACACAGATTATGCAAATTTGGAATTAACATAAGAGCAGCGCCATATAACCACGTGTTTGGCTTGTATGGAAGCCCATTTTCTCAAGGTGAGAGAAAAACATTTAATCTTCTGGTTCAAACTGTAACTCATTAGCTTTGAAATAATGACTCATTTTCTCAAGATTTTGAATAAGTAGGTTAAAATAATAACCATAACTGAAGAACAAGTTATTACTCTTAGGGAAAGTGCATGATAATTGTGAAATATTTCGTTATTTTGAGGATAAAAAAGATACCGGTGCAATAAATAAAATTGAGACAGTAAGTAATTATTTTGACTTTCTGTTTCAAAATAGTTGTTTGGTGGTTTGAGCTGCAGTTGAGTTCTTTTCCGAGTGCATTTGGAATTTGTGAGACCTTGTAAAATCCCTGTTTAATTTCACTGAGCACTTCCTGCTCGATTGGGAACTGCATGACTCGAACTCATAGTGAGTGTGTCCTCTTAGCTACGTGTAGTGCATCAAACCATGTGACATTTCTTTAACAGACAAATGAAATAACAAAGTAACGAATAGCTTTATTAAAACAGTGGTTGCAGAGTCAGAGAGTTTTACAATAGGTTGGGAAAGAAAACAGTCAAATAATTATTTACACAAAACCTGCTTCTGAGGCATTTAAGACAATTAGGAAAAAGTTTAAAACACTGTTTTACTAAACCAAATTGTTTCATTTTTTTCCTGTCAAATTAAGAATGAAATGACATGGCAAGTGATTGATTATATTTTTATTTATTTTTTTTTAACCAGTGTTTGTATGACTTGTTTCGTTGATTGTTATTACACAGTTTTGTAACATATAGATAGCAGCTATCATGATCGTGGCTAATGGGGATCCTAAAAAAAAATAACAAAAAACAAAATAAACAAAATATATCTAATTAACCATCTAACCTTTTAGTTCTCTCGTTCTCAGTGGTGCCAAAAAAGACAAGCTTTTCTCAGGTGCTAAATAATGCACAGCATTTACCTTCAGCCTTTGTAAATCTGAGTAATAACATTTATTATAATAATGTCCTCCTAGTATTCTGTGTAGAGAGCCCCACATATATATTTTAATAACATGTTAAACTTCTGTATCACACGCTGCATTCAAACCCTAATAAAAAAAATGGGGTTTTAACTGAATTTTAACTGAAAATGTTAGTTTTTTAAGGTTGATTTTTAAGGTGGCCTGGACGCTAACTTTTTAAAGTTGACAGCTTGCAAATGTTTTTATACTGTGCGCTCTGTCCAGCAGGCTGGGATAGCTGAGCAGTCACTGTGGTTGGCTCTGTTCTCTCTGTTCGCTCCTGAATGCAGTTTTAAACAGTCATGCTCTGTAAATGTCAGAGAGGCATGTAGCTGTGCAGACAGACTACAGTGTACGGAGTTGGCACAGGACTAGCATTGTTGTGAAAGGCCATTAACTCTTAGCTGTCTTGTGTTATTGCTTTGTTGTACTAAAATATATCCAAATGTGATTAAGTAATTCCATATTTAACTACACAGACAAGTTCATTCACATTCTGTATCCACAGGTAACATTTTTCACACTTTTGACAAAACCTTGTCAAAAATGTAATTTTACAAACACAGATGTCGCACATATTAAAAGTTTAACAGGATTTCTCCTCTTGTTTCAGTGAGAAATAAACAGTCACAACATGGGTTTTGCTGTCACATGTAAGAATTGCAGCCTCTAAGTGTGAAATGTCTTTGTTCCTTTTTCAGAGGAGCTTTCCATCAGCATATCAGTATCCAACTCACAGATTAAGGAGAATGTGGTGAGTGTATATGTCTTGTATATGTGTCTATTTTTGCTTTTCATTTTAAATGTATATGCAGATATAATGCTAAACATTGAGTTAATGTTGCTAATGGATGGTCCATAAGTACAGTGCAGTTTCACAGGATCATTTCTCTGCCAACAGAAACTCGAATGCTCTCATTTGGGCCAGTGATGTTATCAAAGCTGCCACAATTATTGTCATGATCATGTAACATCATTAGTAGAAAACCAGCCTTAAGCAAAAGCTAACTAAAGATCTCTTCTGGGGTGCTTTTTGTTCTTAAGTGTATTAAACAGACACAAATCAATTAAACTTTCGGTCATATTATTTCTGTTTACAATGGTAGGCAAAAGTTTGAACATTGCTGGTCAAACTAGATGTTTTGTTGACTTTCTAGGTGAAAATAAGTTAACACATCCTTTGCAATAGAACACGCATAAAAATGGCTTTTTTGTTCTGCAAATTTTAGTTCACAACTTCTATTTATTTGCTAAGTTTAACATATTGAAAAAAAACATAAAATATGAAATGTGTCACTACTTTTTCACAGGCCACATTTTATGTTTTTTCCAATATTTAAATTAAGAAAATAAAGAGTAATTGTGAAAAATTACATATTGTGATACATATCATATCCTTTGACCAAACCTTTGCATATGAATGTATTTCATACTGTAAACTACAAAGTCTTATTATTATGTGATATAATATAATATTACTTCTTCTATATTATTTTAATTTATTGATTATATATTATGTTGTTTATCATTCATAAATTTATTTTTTAATTTTATATCATGTATGCATTATATCATTTCCATTTATTTATTTTACATAATATGTAAATGTATTATTCTTTGGTTAAATTATATATTTAAAGTAAATGAGTCACTTTTAGCTACAAGCTCATGCTGGTCTATTGTCCCATCTGTAGCGTTCCAAAAGCTTACAGTACAGCAGTGGGTGATCTTTTTTTAATGCTGTATCTTGGAGCTGTACTGAAAGTGCTTTTCCTTTTAAGGATATCAGCTCAGTGTACCAGATCTTTGCTGATGAGGTGCTGGGATCAGGACAGTTTGGGATTGTGTATGGAGGTGAGACTGTGCCTCTCTTTCATTCTGTGTCCGATTTCATTGCTCATCTGCACTTTAAAAAAATACATTGTTGTCTGAAGTTCATTTAATCTGCCACTTTTCAAAAAGAGTACAGTCAGCCCACTTAGGGCTGCACCATAAATCATGTTTTTTATCATTATCGCAATATGACACACGGCACAAACATGCTTCACCATACATATATATTTATTTAATTTTGTATGCCTGTATTAAAAATAAAGTGTATGCATTTATGTGTTTGTGTAGACTTGCACAGGGAAAAAAAATAATTATATATATATATATGTGTGTGTGTGTGTGTGTGTGTGTGTTTTGTAGTCTTTATTGAAAAAGCTGTGTGTTAAAATTTCATTTGACCATTTTGCACAACAGTGAATGGTGCTTTTGTAAAGAAAGCTTTGTAAGATTTCTGTTTATAGCGTACTGTCAGAGTCACCGATCTTATAATCATTTATCAATTCTCATATCATTATTATGATATCCAACGGCTTCATCAAACAGTTAATGTCCATGTTGTGCGGCCCAAACCCCCACTAGTTCATTTTTTCTCTCTCTGTGGCTTTTAGACGGAGACAGAAAGCTTGCCTTTTTGTCTGTGTGATGCTTATAAACTTTATTAGTGGAATTCCACTGTGTCTCCATGTTCTCTTATACTGATTGTGCTCACAGAGATTGTAGGAGAGTGATAAAGACAGCCAGGCTGTTTTGTTGAACCCTTAAATATGGGTGGATGATATGGCCAAAATATAATATCATGATTATTTAAGATATTTTTACGCTACACAATAAGAATCACAACATTTAGCTTTTCTGAAGTTTAATAGGTTGGAACAAACAGAGTGGACCTGCAGCGCCACATTTAAAAAATACTATCAAAACCTATGAATGAAATGAATTTTATTAAATGTTTCATGTGCTGCACTGAACTAAATCAAATGAATCAGAACTAATGATGCTCTTTTAATAATGAAACATGCAGTTGGTCAGCATTCAAAGTTTAATGTGAGTTAATGTAACATGCTAAATATAACACTAACTATTGTGGTGTGTTTTCTCATTTCTACCCATAAACATTTACGGTCAATGCAAAGTGACTATTTTAGCTATTTAATCTATTTTACTCCTTTTACATTCTCAATGTTGTTATGGCATGTATTGTAATATGTAAAGGTATGTATTTCCATAGCAATGTGAACTATCGCCATGCATACAGCAGTAAAGGCAGCGTGGAGCTTCTTTTATACAGTAATCAGAAAGGTAGGAAAAGTAGGAAAGTTCCAATTCCACATGCTGATCCAGTTTACTGACCAGCGTGGACATGCATGCTCACCAGCTGCTCTGGGGGCAGATTTTAATCTGCTGAAGGAGATAAACAGAAATACTCTGAATGGAATAACTGGGAGACGTAAGGTCAGTTGAGGTGAAGCTGTGCTTTGCTAAAGTCAGTTTTCTTTGTTCTTTGTTCTTTCATACATGAAGGCAAGCACAGAAAAACAAAGAGGGATGTTGCCATTAAAGTTATAGACAAGATGAGATTCCCCACCAAGCAGGAGAGCCAGCTGAGGAACGAAGTGGCCATTTTACAGGTAAAAATATACAGTACACTAAAATATTAAAATACTACACTCTTTAGTAAAGAAAATGGTTCTATGTAGAACATGTACACTCAAAGAATGCTTTGCATGATTAAAGGGTTGTGTACATTGTTAAAGCGTTCTTTATACTGATGGAAAATGTGCTGTAGGTGGTTCTATATAGAATCTTTTTGAAAATGGTTCCATATAGCACCAAAAAGTGTTCTTCTATTGGGACGATGTCAAGCCTGTAACAATAGAAGAACCCTTTTTGGTGTTATATAGAACCATCGACAGCACATTTTCCATCAGTATAAAGAGCCATTTAACAATGCAAAGAATCCTTTAATCATGCAAAGGGTTCTTTGAGTGTTCATGGTTCTACATAGAACCATTTTCTTTACTAAAGAACCCTTGAAGAACCATCTTTTTGAGGAGTGTAGTCCTGTGCAACTTAACAGGTTTATATAATTATGAAGAATTAGTTGCAATTTGTTAAAAAAAGTAATTAATTCATTACCATAAATTAAATGCATGAAATTATAACAAAATTAATATCCATAATGTCTTGTATTAGATAATTTGTCCTGGAATAACTGCTTATTTTTGCCAAAATACTCTAAATATTAAATAAAACATGTAAAGCTACTTTGTATTCTAGTTTTGAGTATTTCAGTCTGCATTGTATAAGTTAGTATATATATAATAACAAAAAGAATTACTATGAAAAATAATTCCAAACTTTGCAGCAGTAGTGTATATGCTTTCTAATTTGATCATTATCAAATACATCTGTCGACACAGGTTATGATGTGGTTATGCCCAGTGTTGTATAGTTTGTGGTTAGGTGCAGTGACAGTGTTTACAGGCTGTTAGTCAGCTGAAAGCACAAAGTTTGCTTAATACTTAAAACGTCACTTTAATTCCTCTCTCTTTGTCTCTCTCTGTCCTTCAGAATCTGCACCACCCTGGCATTGTAAACCTCGAGTGTATGTTTGAGACTCCTGAGCGGGTGTTTGTTGTCATGGAGAAGCTCCATGGTGATATGCTGGAGATGATTCTGTCCAGCGAGAAGAGTCGACTTCCTGAGCGCCTCACCAAATTCCTGGTGACCCAGGTTAGTAACCAGATTTCCCAAACAGTGTTGGCAAAATCATCCGTCACTCCTCGTAATGGGTAACACGCATAGAGCCTCAGCAGGAAAGAATAGCATTGTTGATTAAAGGGCCCATATCCTACATTTTACTGTTTTATTTTTCCCCCTTGAGGTCCACTTTACACTTTATATTTGTGTGGTTTAATATATCAAAAATGGACATAATTCATTTTTACATGACCATTTTCCAACCTCTCTTTATCCTTTAGAATTAAAGAGGGTTTTGTTTTTATTACTGTGCCTTTAAGACTGATATATGTAAATGAGATTTGCTCTAATTGGCTGCTCTGTATTGTGCCTAATTCAAAAAGCAGCCTGGGCTGAAACACTCTCTGTATCTTCAATGTGAGTGAGCAGGGTTAAACTGCTGTAGGCTGAATAGGTGGGTAGATGTATATGTGTTGGTTTTGTGATGGATAATGGATGTTTTTGCTGCATAGTCTCCATGCAAACTGTATGTAATGGGGACTGAACAGTATGTTTTGAGCAACGTTTATAAATCACTTTGAACTTTTTTTTTTTTTCAAAAACTTAAAGGACATTTGGGTTTCCATGATGTGGACCCTTTAATAAAACGTTCTATTAGTCAAGATATTTTAAACCAGAGGTGATCAATACATACATAAATAAATAAATACATAATATGGGAGCTCTGCAGACTTAAATTTTACAGGGTTTTATAGCTTGCTGTGTTTGCTTTGTTCTCTGAAATGCAGTGTAGCTTTGTGAGGTGATTCAGTTTTCCACCTTCTTGAACGCAGGCAATTTTTTGGGATGTACCCCACATATCCAATTTAATGTGATGCAGTTCATAAACAGAGAAGCTGTTCTAAATTTGTAACAAACATAGACATAAGTTTTATTAAAGGGCCTATATAATGGAAAACTGAATTCCTTTCGCTATTTGAAATAAAGGAGTTTAAAGTCACGTAAATATTGTCAAAGTTTTAAAACATACCGTTTAATGCCCAGGCCATAGAGTCCATATATGGAAGCTGAGCTGCAAAGACATCCAGTTTTAAATTCACTGTTCCTGTGATGTAGCGAGAACTAACTCATCTACCCACCTATTAAAGTACCATTTGTCATTAATAAAAACTATTGGTTGAGATATTTTTGCAGGTTGCAACCAATGACTGTCCTAATCTGGGATGTGCTGGTTTAATCGCTTACATTTTATTTTCAGTTTTATTAGGAGTGAGAAATGGAAGTCTGGACCCAGTCCTGGCTTCTGGCCATTCAAAAGGTTAAATCAATAGTTAGGCAAAAAAACATGTTTGGTGTCTGAGGTTTCTTTAGTTTTGTACTAAATTACAAAGCTGGAAGCTTATTGCCCACCAATCTGCATTGTGCAAACTGCATGCCTCACTCAGAATTGTTAAGTAAGCTCAGTTAGACTTGCGGATGTGGTTTCACTGTATGCGTAGCCTGGATGTTTTCCATATTTTTGTATACAACAGTATATCATGCATCGGAGAAACCACAGAGGCTATTTTTGCTGTCCTATTGCTTTAAATATCTCCTATTTGGTGGTCACCTGCATAAAACATCTTAAGTGAATTTTGGCCTTGAGTTTCTCTTTATCTTAACCATTCAAAATTCCAGGCTAATTACATACTAAGTATTCAGTAACTACACAGACTACAGTGTAAACTGCCTGAGTCATTCTTAGGTAATAGAAGTATGCAGTAAAACTTTGGACATGCCACTAGGTCCTGGCCATTTGTGGGTTTAAGTGAGCTGCATGAAATAGTGAAAAAGTGCAAAAAAAATTACACTCTAAATTTGACCGCTACAGCATTTCAGTTTAAATCTACAGCTTTAAATCGATCACTTAAGCATTTAACAAGATAAATACGTAAGATATTTTATGCAAGTGGCCACTGGTCTTTATTTAAAAAACATTGACTGACTTTCTTTCTGTTATTGTCTCAGATTCTGGTGGCTCTTAGACACCTCCATTTTAAGAACATCGTCCATTGTGATTTGAAGCCGGAGAATGTACTTCTGGCCTCAGCAGAGCCTTTTCCACAGGTGAGCACAGTCACGGCCCTCTTACACAGCACACAGTACAGAAACAAAAACTCACTCATACTCACAAGCACATACAAACAGGATCACAGCTTTGAAATTATAACAAGGGAATATATAATGTACCGTATAAAAACCGTGTTAAAAAGTTTTGAATAACGACACTTTGGAAAAGGTATTACACTTCGAGTCTATTTTGTGCCTCTTAGCGCAAGTGGCCACCAGAAACGTACACATAGTACTCCCTCACGCTTCTATTTTGTGAGTGCTGACTACTGTAAAACCCTAAGCCTCATAGAAATATACTGCTTTACTGGTCATGATGGAGTTTAACAGTGTGTTCTAAACTCAAATAAAGGGGGTACTTTGTGCACATTAGAGCAATATAAAATAATGTATTCACATTATGAAAATGATTATTTCTCATAAGAAATCAACAAAAAAACAAAAGATTTCAGTTCAAACTGTACACTACTATGCACATATAAAAAATGAAGTGAAGTAACTTGTAGCCAAATCACCAAGTAGGTCAGTCAAATTTGATCAAAATTCACTTCTAAATGCACTATAAAATGTTCAAAAATTCACATGATATAAATGAAGTGATTTTATTCTACTATTAATTGGGTATCTAGCTTATCATCTCTGTCAGGACAAAACCTTCTGTGTACATTTTTTTCTTTTCCTGTTTTTGTTTCTATTTCTTTCATAATTTGAAAATGTCATCTGCTGTTTACATTATATTAAAATTTCACTACAAATGGAGCAACAGAAATAGTTTAAAATGATAAATCTTGTTACAGGTTTTTGTTCCAAAAGCACTGATACCTTACCTAAATTGTGTGGCTATATTGTGTATGAAAATATAAATATCAGATTGGACTCTCTGTTGGTTGATGCTCATTATTAAAAGACTCTAATATGGTAGTCCTGTGCAACCTCAGGATTGGTAGAAAGCTGTGAGAAAGAATTAAGAAATATTAGATGTGTCCAGAATGATAAACAAAACTGATGTTTCTGAAATAACTGAAAAAAATGTAGAACATTGAGAATGATAACATAAAATTAATATTCACAATGTTGCCAAGTTTCGAGGTAGATAACTTGACAAATTTATTGTAAATTATTGTAAATAGTCCACTGTGATAGTGTAGTATTAATATATACCATAATAGAATAAACAGTGCACTATATTTGCATTGTTTCATAATTACAGTAAATTATTGATAATTCCACAATTATTCATTTCTATTCTTGCTGCACAAAATACTTACAAAATATCTTTTGGTATTGAGTTTGTAGAGACTTTTGAACAGTACTGTATAACGTCTTCCTCCCTATTTGTAACTGTAGGTGAAGCTGTGTGACTTTGGCTTTGCTCGTATCATTGGGGAAAAGTCATTCAGGCGGTCAGTTGTGGGCACTCCGGCGTATCTGGCCCCTGAGGTGCTGCGGAGTAAGGGCTATAACCGCTCTCTGGACATGTGGTCAGTGGGGGTCATTGTCTACGTGAGCCTGAGCGGCACCTTCCCCTTTAACGAGGACGAGGACATTAACGACCAGATCCAGAACGCTGCCTTCATGTACCCGCCCAACCCCTGGAAGGAAATCTCTGGGGAAGGTAGGAGGGTAGAGCGGGTGTGCCCGCATGATGGCTATCATTTTAACCAGTGTGGAGGAGGAGTGCTCTTTTTTTGCATGAAAAAGTGTATTTAAGTGTAATCAAGTGCAGCGATCTGTAGTTAAGTATTTATTTGGCATTTTGACGTGCAGTATAATATCTGCCATCATTAACACTAAGTATGTACTGTGTTACATTTCATATTTAATATTTGTATTGTACTTAATATTATACTTTATTTGCTTTATTTTATATTATATTATATACTCTTCAAAATAAGGTGCCAAACTGGGTTGTTTTAGCAGTGCTATAGAGGAAGCACTTTTGGCTCCATAAAGAACCATGTTTGAAATCTGTGAGTGTTAAAAAATCTTCACATAATATAAAGGTTCTGCAGCCAATTTATGGGTTCTTCCTAGGATCTTCACATTATGTGGAGGTTATTTAAACCTTAAAAAGGTTCTTCACATTTACATATCTCATTTACAAATAAATGTTCTCTTAACAGTCATCCATTAGAGGTTTTTAGGGAACCAAATTGGTTCTTCTTTGATATTGTGCAAAGAACCCTTTCTGGCGCCTGCCTATTTAATAGCTTTATGTTTTAATTAATATTAATATGTTACATATCATATAAAATGACTGGCGGCCACTGCATTAAGTACACCTTCTTATATCTACACTCATTGTCCATTTTATCAGCTCCACTTACTATGTAACTATATAGGAGCACTTTATAGTTCTACAATTACAGACTGTAGTCCATCGGTTTGTCTGCATGCTTTATGTGGTTGGGACCACCACAGAGCAGGTATAATGTGGGAGGTAGGTCATTCTCAGCACTGCAGTGACACTGACATGGCGGTGTTATATTAATGTGTGTTGTGCTGGTGCGAGTGGATCAGACACAGCAGTGCTGCTGGAGTTTTTAAACACCTCAGTGTCACTGCTGGACTGAGAACCAAAAATAGACAGCCAGCAGCGTCTTGTGGGTATCGTCCTGTGCCCACTGATGAAGGACTAGAGGATGACCAACACAAACTGTACGGCAACAGATGAGCTATCGTCTCTGACTTTACATCTACAACAAGGTGGGAGTGTCTAATAGAGTGGACAGTGAGTGGACACAACTCCAGCACTCGTACCAGCGCAACACACACTAACACTCCACCACCACGTCAGTGTGACTGCAGTGCTGAGAATGATCCACCACCGAAATAATACCTGCTCTGTGGTGGTCCTGTGGGGGTCCTGACTAGTGAAGAACAGGGAAAAAGAGAGGATAAAAAGTACACAGAGAAACAGATGGACAACTGTCTGTAATTGTAGAACTACAAAGTGCTTCTACATGGTAAGTGGAGCTGATAAAATGGACAATGAGTGTAGAAACAAGGAGGTGCACTTAATGATGTGACTGGTCAATGTATAAACTATATTAATATAAATATAAAAAAGAAATATATGAGGTAGTTTGGCTGAGATATGGTAGAAGAGAATGTCTTCTGTGAGAATGATTGCTCACTTCTGTTTCTTCCACAGCAATCGACTTGATCAACAATCTACTTCAAGTAAAGATGAGAAAGCGCTTCAGTGTAGATAAATCTCTCAGTCACCCCTGGCTTCAGGTATGGACAAACTACTTTTATCTGTTTTATTCTACTCTAAAATCTATTTCACTTAATAAGCTACTTAACTTGAATCTACTTTGAAATATGCTATACTTAAAAATCTAAATTACTTTAAAATCTACTTTAAAATTACTCTACTTAAAAATCTACTCTGCTTTATGCTAAAATCTACTCTACTCTGCTTTACTCCACTTAAAATCTACTCTACTTAAAAATCTACTTAAAAATCTACTTTAAAATCACTCTACTTTACAATATACTTTACTCTGCTTTTCTCTACTTAAAAACCCCATTTATTGTACTTAAAAAATCCACTTTTCTCTGCTTTACGCTCCTTAAAAATCTACTTTAAAATCTACTTTAATATCTACTTTACTTTGCTTTACTCTACTTAAAAATCTCCTTTACTTAAAAATCTACTTTACTTTGCTTTACTCTACATAAAAATCTCTTTTACTTAAAAATCTACTTTACCCTTTTTTTTGCTTTACCCTACTTTAAAATCGACTTTACTCTGCTTTACTTAAAAATTTATTTTAAAATCTACTTTTCTATAAAATCTACTTTATTCTGCTGTACTCTAAAATCGACTTTACTCTGCTTTACTTAAAAATTGATTTTAAAATCTACTTTTCTATAAAATCTACTTTATTCTGCTGTACTCTGCTTTAAAATCGACTTTACTCTGCTTTACTTAAAAATATACTTTAATTCTCGTAGGACTATCAGACGTGGCTGGATCTTCGAGAGTTTGAAACTCGGAGAGGAGAGCGCTACATCACTCACGAAAGTGACGACGCACGCTGGGAGGAATACGCCGACGAGAGGCGTCTGCCCTATCCAAAGCACTTCATTATGGCGCCTAACCTGGATGACATGGAGGAGGACCCCTAGTGGAGGACCCCTAGTGGCCAGGAGGACTTACTACACCTGTTTCTGAAAGAGATAGAAGGGCTAATGCTGCTCTAAAGGTGCTCTGGCCCTTCACCCTAGCCACTGCAGAGACTGGGAGTATGAAGTGGAAAAGTACCTGCCGTCATGTTCTGATGAAGGACGCTTAAAGTGAATGTGAACAGGAAGTAATTACCCACATAGCAACTGTGAAGAGTAGCTCAGTACTGTGGGAAACCAGTGCAAGAGCACAATGCTCGTCTTCAGGTTGTTTTCCTTTCATTACATTCCAGAGACATGACGTGGCGTTCTCTCTCTCTCTCTCTCTTCACTTGCCGCCTTTTCAGCAATCCATAACTTACAAGTCTCTCGAGCCAGAGTGAGGAGTGTTTGGGAATTCTCCTTTTAACAGTAATAAACATTTGCACTGCCACTCCACCCACACAAGGCACTATGAGTTTGGACCAAACCCACACGAGGTGGACTAAATGGGAGCTTTGTAGCCTGTAAAGCTATATTATATTTTTCTACTTTCATTGTGAGTGTTACACAATTTACAGAAATTCGATATGTTACACAATATTGATATTTTAATAAGTTCTTTTTTGTGTAGAGGAAGTAGTATGCTGGGGTTGTATGAGGAGTATTGAATCTAAACTGGAACACAGAGCATGTGTATGCAGTAGGGCTAAGGAGACTGAGGCTTTGGTGAAATGAAGAGTATCAGAACGATAAACATCTAGTCTCGTGTGGAAAACTCCACTGACACGGCCTAAAGATATGGCTTAAGATAAAACACATTACCAGTCTAAGTGACCATAGTGACCAGTCAGATGCATCAAGGCATCAGTTTTTTCTCATTGATGCAAACATGCACATTTATGGGAGCCAATTGGAAAATAAAGTTACTAGAAAATATCTTATAATAATGAGATACTGTCTGATACTGATATATTAAAACTTAATTATGAGGTGTTGTGAGATAATTCTAAGATACTAAGTCATAATTATGATACAGTACGTCATATTTATGAGAAAATCTCGTTATGAGAGTAGGTAAATTTTGAAATAGTATGTTATTTTCTGATATAGTATCTCATTTCGTAACTACGAGGTAAAATACAAAGTCATCAATTTTATGAGTTGTAAGAAAGTAAGAAGGTATCTTGTAAATGTGAGATAGTATCTCGTAGTTGTGAGAAACTTTCTCGTTAGTATGAGCTGCTAAATGGCTTAATGGTGCAAATGGTCTTCCATACATTTCCCTAGTCCATGACACGACGTTAAGATATGGCTTTAGATGACCATAGTGGCCAGTCATAAGCATCAATGCATTAGTTTTTCTCATTCTTTCACACATACATTTTCTTTGAGAGCCCGTTTCTGCTGACTGGAGAAATGAGAAAGTCATAATAACAAGAAATAATTATGACTCAGTAGCTCATAATGATAATGAACATACTGTCTATGTCACAATGAGATACTAAGTCATGATTATGAGACAGTAGATTTTAATTATGAGATATCTCATAAGTCAGAATTGAGATAAGAGTCATATTTATGAGAAAATCTCATTATGAGTTAATAAGTCAATTATTCAACCATGAGATAGTAAGTTATGTAATGAAATAATATAAGATATTAAGCCATAATTATGAGGTAAGTCGTAATTATAAGGTAATATCTCATAGTTATAAGATTTTTTAAAAAAGTTAAACAGTTTTCCACACATTTCACAAGCTTATGAAGTTACCTGATGTCTCCTGGAAAAGGCTATAAATTGCTGGCAAATTCTAAAATATTCTTCATCCCCTGCAGCTGAAATATAAGGAAAACAAATGGAGTTGATTTGACTGAAACCTGAGAATTCCCCAATTTAAACACTATAGATTTGAAATCTTAACAGCTGGTTTGGTTGGGTTATTGATCATAAATACTGAGAATATTTTGTTTGACCAAAATTGTGTCTAATTTTCCATTGTTTAGTTTTGGTTTGTGTTGTTTTGAGGATGTTCTTTTTTGATGTTATGATAGCCCTGTAGAGCTACACTGTTACTGTGATAGTTTGGGACTGGTTTCATGATTGGAGTGCAGCACTTCCACAGACATGTGTGCTGTCCTTTTTTTTTCTTGAACTAACACTGTATTCCTCCCTGTACAAAACTGCAATATATTGAAAATATATTCCAGTATTTTCTATTTACAGGAATGCATTGGCAGACTATTGCAATATATTCCGTTTTTTTCTTTGGGGATCTCTTCACCATCACTGTGCTATGAACTAGCAGAATGCAGATTGATGCTGTTGGGCCTGGTGTTGCAATGTTTTTGAAAATTGTTTGTTTTTTTTTTGTTTTTTTGAACGTAGGCTTGTTTCACTGGATCACAGAAATGTATGAGAATTACTCCATGAATTTCCATTTTCCAGTTTCACAGTGGTGATTTATTATGAGATGATGTGTCTCCTGCTGCTTTAGTGTCCCTATTGTCATGTATTAGCTTACTGACATAGACATTACAAACCAACTGTAAACCATATTTGGGTTGTTTCAGCTTTCACGTCTGACTAGCATTTTAATTCACATTCCATTTACCCTCAGGACATGTGGTCTCTATACTGTAACCTTAAAATCCCTTTAACGTTATTCATTATAGTATTAATTTTTATTAAGACGTTTCATTGGATCTTTTCTGAAATTGAAGGATGCATTCTGAAGCCCTGACCCTGGTGAATGCAGTGAATAATGAAGGAAGAGGACTGGGAGAAAATCTGTACTGTTGTATTTTCACTCATAGTGTGCAGCATGTGTCTTTTCCCTGTTGTTTCTGTCATTTTTAATGGGATCCATTGACTAAAGCCTAATTTAGAAGGAGGTGTGTAAAATATGATGCTAATTTAACATACTTGTTTAGACAGTATTAGCTTAATGCAAATGTCACGGATAAACGTCTGGATAATTCAGTGGGGGAGAAATTGAGGACAGAGTTTTGGGAGCTATGTCGTGCCTCCTGTGAGTTAATTTCATGCTTCAGGACAGTCTGATAAGCTGGGTGGAGGTAAGACATGCCATGTTTTTGTAGCTTGTAAGGATGATGACGATGTGATCCTGAGAATCATTTAAGTCTGGGTTGCCATGGGACTGGCAACAGTCACTGTTTTGTATATTTTAGTATTTACATATCTAATAAAACCTTCCTCTTTACAGCTTTGCAGTATTTATTGCTATGCACAGGTGTGAATTAGGGTTGGGCAATATGGCGGTATCTTATTGTCATTGTTATGAATCACATCATGGTAACAGACATCATCAGTATTTCTAGACCATTGGCCAGTTGCCCGGCCTAAAAGCATTTAAAGGGCCCATATCTTGGAAAACAAAACGTACGGGTCACTCCCCAGTCCATAGAGTCCTTATATGGAACAATAAGCTGCAAAAACTTCACCATTTTTAAGTTGAATTGGCTTACAGATATCAGTCTTATAGGTGCAGTCTGTTTCATTTTAAGGCATAAATAGAGATTAATAATGAATTACCACTGTTATAAATATTGTTATAAAGCCACACAAACATAGAGTGGACCTCAAAGATACAAAAAAAAAAAAAATACAAGAAAAATAAGTATATGGACCCTTAAGGTTGTTTGTTGTGTTACACAGTGTTCTGGAACGCATCTGTTTTGGGAGATTTCACAATTTATATAATTTTCATGTTTCCTTTCATCAGTGTTCTCTCACTACAATACCCAGCATGCATTCTGCAATTAGATCATACAACCAGAGAACTTGTTGAGAGGAGAATTACCACTCTGTATGTCTTCCGGGTTTCTAAAACACTAGAGGGCGCTCCCGAGCCAAAATGAATGGGTTAAGATGGAGCATTTGAGCAAAAACATAGTTTATGAATGCTTAAACATTTTTAATGTAAAATAACACAATCATTTCCTGAACACAGAACAGCATAAAACATTTTAATGCTGCTGTTACATTTTTAAGAGCTTTTGAACTCGAGTTATAGGAGTTTTAAACGGCGCCTCATGTACGTCCATGACGTCAGTGAGCATGACCAGCCAATGAGCTGCTCCGCTCACCAACCAATCAGCACTCAGTAGTAGTAATGCTAACGTACTGCTGCCCGAAACCCCTTTTGTTTTAGAAAAAAGGAAACATACAGGTACATGTTTGCTTTTTTAGTGAAATACATTCTTCTACTTCTAAAATTAAAGGGAAGTTCTGGGCGAGTGATTAGAAACTGAACTTTTCATTTTTAGTTGTTTAGCTCCATTCACCCCATTTATTGAGGACTTACTTGTGGGCACCCTCTGGTGTTCTGCAGTCCTGTTTTTTGATATAACTGGGCGAAATAAGAAGAGACCGAGCTCCTCATAAACCAGCTCTGATACAACCAATGGTAATCCCTGTGGTGTCAACCAGTCCTGACTGCTAGCCTAGCTGCTGAGCTATAGGCTAATAAATACAACCAGTACATCCAACCAGTGTAACTTATACTGCAACAATTAAACGAAATCATAAAGAAAACTTATTCAGCACGTTTTTACCTTTTCAGCCAAAGAAAAGCAGGCAAACTGAGGTAGGAAATCTACATAAAACTGTAGCCTTTAGCTTTTTGTCATGCTTATCTGATGAGTCATTTCTGTCATTTGAGGAATCCGTTCTCTTCATTGTAATGATGAAAAGACATTTAACGGCTGCAGTAAGATATTCAGTTTCCCATCAGTAACATTAGCCATCAGGCTTTCTTCGGCATTCACCAGCTAACGGAAAATTTCAAAACAGCCCCCAAAAGCCCACCCCAAAGCGGCTTTCAGAAGATCTCACTAATAGAGATTAATGCGGCACCGCTATAGAAGCTAATTCAGCATGTAGCCATGGTTAACATATTTAACACATTGTTGCCAATGGTGTGAATTCTTACTGTGACTTAATAACTCATACAGTACAGGACTGAGTTACAAATAAAGCCCTTAAAATACGAATAAAAAGCAAATCTGTGTCTTGCCCTATCCAGAGGACTGCTGCAACATTAAGGCAATGAAAAGAAAATAAGGCTAAACCGGTCTAAAACGGTCCAATATGACTGTGGCCAAGGTCTTTTAAACTGAAGCTGACTCTCTTGATCATAGCTTCTGCAGCGGAGAACAGCTCTACTCTGTGGTTACTTCAGGCTGCTCCCAATGGGCCTCATGCTAAATGAACAGAGAGGACTGTGGGGAAGAAAGCAGTACTGCTGGGTAATGACGCCCCGCCTGCCTTACTCGGCTTGCTACCAGTTTTCCACGTTTGATGCAAAACTGATTTTGAAATTGAGTCTTTGTGACAGAATAGAGTATCAAGTTAATTTAAATGGCCTTAAAGCTGATTTCTTCTACTTATTGGTCTAACATTGAAGCAATAGTTCAACCAAGAAATCAAATTTACAGAATTTTAATCCAAATGAACCAAGTCGTTATTGTTTAAGCTACGAGACTAATGCAGCACTCTGCTTCCTTAAATCATTATCTTGTTGCCTCATACTGCATCAGTTCATATTAAATAGACTTGCTTATGTTGTTCTGGATTCCGTTACAAAAAAAAAGGTTTTAAGTTAGCTACAACTTCTAAATTTCTTAATCCTGGAGACCCCTACCCCCAGCGGCCATTGTGGCTTGCTTATTGTGAATTCTCTGTTGATGGGAGGCTGCTGTAATTGTATATTTTAATTGCTACTGAAACAGTGAGGAGCATATATGTTTGCTGCTGCTGTCAGGACATAAACCAGCAGGCAGTGAATGAGCATATGTGTGAGTGTGCATGAGCTACCCTACTCCAGCTAAATGACTAACAGATGTAGCGACTCCACGTGGGCCAGTAATGGTTTCCACCCGCAGCAGACGGAGCCGGGGGCTCCTTCACCTCAGCCAGACCGGCTCTCTTCATCTGAGCCATAGAAGCTGAAAGCTTGCTTCACTGACCATAAAATTCACCTTTTGGACCTAATATAGATTTTATGTTTGCTATATATCAATTATATAACTAAAACTGTTCAGCTGCACAAAGTCCCATACTATTCATTTGTGCAAATACTTCAGCAGATTTTCTATATGTATGAAAGTAAAATGTGGTGTCCCACCAGGGTCTGTTATAGGCCCACTTATATATGTAGCTACTGAGTGCAGTTAATACACAAACATGAAATTAATGCCCACTGTTATACTGATGGCATGCAACTATGTGTATTAACCAAACCAGGTGACAGACACAGGTAAAAAAAGGCATTGTGTAAAGATGTCAGTGGTTAAGTATCGTGCCTCCTACTTAAGTGCAGCTGTATAAAACAGTTGTCACTACTGAATCTCTAGCTTAATATTACTAGAACAGCCTTCTTCCATCTGTGTAGAACAGAGAACTTTTCTCTTCAAATTTATAAGTGCTATTTTATAGGACAATTCCACCAGTTTTTCTACATTTCTGCATAAGACATTGTTTGATGATAGTTTTGAGCTGAAGTTTTGGCCTTAACCTTATTTTTTTAATCAGTTCATCAAGGAGAGGGCGTTGTAAGAAAAATAGTTCCCAAAGAAATCTTATTTTTTCAGATTTTTCACTATTTTACTATAATCAACATTACAACTGAGGAGACACCTGTATATACCTGTGTAGGTTCACTGGTCATTTTGAATAGTAAATAAAATGGCATTGTAAATAACATCGCAACCCCTGGTTCTTATCACCACCACTGTAAAGAAATATGAGTGGGGAAATTTCTCTACAATTAACCATTTCAAATTAAACCATTCTGAAGGCCTTTGTTTACATCTCAGAGCTTGAATTTTACCTTAAAAAAAATAAGAGGAATTCCCCTTTAATTACACCACATTGGTAGCCAGTAGTCTGCATTGATTACAACATACTATTTCTGACCCATACAGCTCAAAATTTACTTGCTCCAAACTCTTTTCTTATTATTATTCAACACATCCACTTTAATGACACAGTGAAGCCTACCATTCAGCCCAGTCTTGGGTATCATAGGCCTGCATTATGTAGTGCTTTCCACACATTTAGAAGCATGCTGCTTTTATCAACTGAGTTACCCAGCTTATGCAAGCTTTCGTGCATGCAGTGCTGTAAGATAAAGAAAGTGTTTTAAACCCTTTATAAAATCAGATTTAATTTAAGAAAACCTTTCTCCACCACAGATAAGGAACACGAGCGCAGTCACAGTGCTCTATTCACCATAAAGTCATGTGGCGAAACAACTTGGACATTCAACCCCAAATCAGACTCGCCGAAATGTAAAACTACCATAATCTGTTTGCACTCCAGGAGACAGCAACCTTTTTCAAAACAGAAGTGGTCAGTGGAGAAACTTATTGCTCAACGCATGTCCAGTTTCTGAGAACTAATGAGTTTTAATTCATACTTTTGTCCATATGAGTGCTGTGGCCCTCACTGCAGGCCAAGTTCAGAGAATCCAGCCACAGGCAGCGGCGCTCTGCCTTTCTTTCTCCTCTTCAGCCCCTCTCCCTCCTCCTGCGGCTCAGCCAGCCGGCTGCGAGACAGCAGAGAGAAGAACTGGAACCTCTGGCCCATTTTCTCAGGGTTGGTCAGCATGTCGTAGCTTTGGATGAGCTGAGCTCGCGTAGAGGCATCATGGCAGTTCCTCAACAAGACCTGAAAAAGTGCACCACAGAGGTGAGCACCACACTCACAGAAGACTAGAAAATGTTTCTACAGAACAAAATGCAATTTACTGAGTGATTGTGATAGACTGTGGACACAGTAATACACACACACACACACACACACACACAAATATATATACACCGATCAGGCATAATAATATGACCACCTCCTTGTTTCTACGCTCATTGTCCATTTTATGAGCTCCACTTACTATATAGGAGCACTTTGTAGTTCTACAGTTACAGACTGTAGTCCATCTGTTTCTCTGCATACTTTGTTAGCCCCCTTTTACTCTGTTCTTCAGTGGTCAGGACCCCCATAGACCCTCACAGAGCAGGTACTATTTGGGTGGTGGATCATTCTCAGCACTGCAGTAACACTGACGCGGTGGTGGTGTGTTAGTGTGTGTTGCGCTGGTCTGAGTGGATCAGACACAGCAGTGCTGCTGGAGTTTTTGTAGAATTGTAGAATTGTAGAACTACAAAGTGCACCTATATAGTAAGTGGAGCTGATAAAATGGACAATGAGCGTAGAAACAAGGAGGTGGTCATAATGTTATGCCTGATCGGTGTATATGAACTTTTAAAAAATACTGTATTGCCAGTTACATGGATATTTTTATACTATGATTTTGTTTTGTTTTTTTTTATTTATAATGTGAAGCCATATATCCTATAAACAAGTAAAACAAAGTAAAAAGTTACTTACCCTCTTACCTGCACTAAAACAATCAATAAATTAATGACTAAAACAATATAATTATGCATTCATGGCTATTAATTCAGACCTGTAAGCGTGTATCGATGCCCATGTTCTTCAAGAAGGTTCTCTGTGTGATTGGTCCCAGACAGACGACGTCATCTCCAGCTATCCTCCTCAGATAGCTGAAGTCTACGTCTGCGGTCAAATCTGCAGTACCAGGAGCCAGCAGAACATCATGCAGTTTATGGCCCCTGAAGCCCTGCAGAGGAAAAAAGTCAGTTCAGCTTAGACATACTTAGGAACACTTCCTAAATGCCACCTTTATCTTACTGACTTCTTTAATAGCTTTACCTACTACATCTAACTTCTTAAAAACACATTTAAATTAAAGATCCAGTCAAAGTCTCCATCATTCAAACAGTGAACCAGGACAAAATCATGAGCAAAAATCATACATATCCAGTTTGTGCCCAAACCCAATTTCACTTTATTTCCTTTTAATATGAGGAGCAGTTGCATATACAGTACTGTGCAACAGTTTGAGAAAATTATGTATAAATCTATGTAGCTGGGCAGTAAGCACTGATTTGGCTGAACACATTTAACCCAGATATACAGCTTTAAACAATTTTCTTGGTTGCCTAACACTTATACACAACACTGAAATCTTACTTTTATCTATTTTAAAGTTTATTTGTGATTACTTCAACACTTGACATGATTTGAGACAAGTGTGTGATTTAGGCACATTACATTTAACTGGAGCTTAGCCTGATAGCTCCAGTTAAATGTAAAGAAGCGAATTTGATTTTTCAAACTATTTAATTATAGTATATTATATATATATTATATAGTATATTATAGTAATATTATATACTATATTTTTAAACTATTGCTTTACATCACTCACTTTGCCCTGAACCCCAACACAAACACATCTACTAGTAGAATCCTGTGTTCTGAAAGGCAGATGGGTCACATTAGGCTGACTGATTACACCCCAGGACATTTGACCCCCAAGTTCTTAAAGTCAGAGGCAGAGGGCAAAGAGGGCAGACCAGCCTCTACCCGACACTGACAAACAAACTGCTGCCTAGATGACCACCAAAGGCAAGGAAAGCTCATAATTATATCTTTTATTTAAAAAGCTCACTCTGAAAGTGTCCATCTTTGTCCCATCATGTCCATAGTCTGTGATAAGTGCTGCACCTCCATCCTCCACAATCCGATTGGCCAACTTCTGAACAATGACTCCACCTTCTGGGCAAACCTCCACATGCTCTCGCTTCTCGTCTGCCTATGGGAAACAGCAAAGAGAAATAACAAACTCAAATTGATATTGAATTCAATCCACTGTAGACGCATCAGCTCTTAAAGTGATACTTTGATATCTAAAGTTTGCATCTTTAGTTTTGCACTGGAGCTACAAAGCTAATTATGCTTGAATTTTTAATAACAGTGGGGAACCTTCATGGGCCTTCTAAGCCTTCAGAGAAGATGATTTCTGTGAAATATAAGATTAGTTTGCACTTTTTATTTTTAATGTTTTATTTAATGTACTCATCTTTGTTTTATTTGTTGTGATATTGTAGTAGTACTATTACTTCATTGTTAAGTTTTGTGCATACAAAACAGTGTAACTTCGACAGAACATGATCCAATCAAGATTGTTTTCTGTGTGGCCTAAGTAGATACAGCCCAGTGAGCTCTCCCGTTGGTTAGGACTTCAGGAGCTGAACTGAAGGCCTGATACAGGGGTCAGCAACATGTGGCTCCGGAGCTGCATGCGGCTCTTCTACTGCCCTGTTGCGGCTCCACAGCAGAATTTGATTTTTAGGTAAATCTAAAATAATCCTCCTTTGCAGTAAAGTAAAGCTTTGCTGATCGTTCAACACGATCATTTGCAATAAATGGTCTTAAAGGTTGGAGTTAATGTATAACTGCTTATTCACCCTTTAACCCTGAAGGTTGGCGCGCAGACTGCTGGTCACACAGCAACGCAGACAAGAGTCACGCCTAGTTAGTAGCTAACAAAAAGCTAAAGAAAAAGATTTAAGACGAACATCAATGATTTGGAGACGGATTAACTTTTATAATCACTCCAGCTGGTTTCCTGATATGTTTAATCTGCAATGAGAAACTGTCAGATGCCAGCTTTTTGTTTGAATTATCCCGTTCCACCTTAACTGTTGCAGCAGTTACATTCTGGCACCTCAGGCACCATTTAAGGTGGAATAGAAAAATTCATACAAGAAGTTGGTGAATGAGAAGCGACTTCAGCCTCGTAAAAATTGAACATTGAGAGACATTTTACAAGAAACTAATCAACTTTTGAGGAAAAGTTTCCTGCCGGAGATGTGAGAAAAGTGGCTATAGCTGAGCTAAAGCTTAAAGCAGAGCAAAGTAAGTCTGTGTTTTTGTTTATATTATATTTTTTAGCTTATACTAATACATTAGCACATACTGAGAAATATTTACAGCCAAGATGTTAAAATGGACATAAAATGTTGTGGCTCCCAAGGTGGTTTGATTTTGGTTCAAAGGACAAAATGTCTCTTCTTAACGTTTGGTTTGCCGACCCCTGGCCTAACGCGTCAGATAACAACCAGCATAATTAGGAACTCACAGTGGAATCAACCAATGTTTTGATTTACAATGAGTGGGAACAGTTTTATGAGAAACTTCTCTAACCAGGTTTGTTAAAAATGGAAAACAGCGATTAGCATTATCGAAGACAAGTTTTCTTTCCTCGTTTTTCAACAGATTTTTATATTTATAACCCATACTGAAGGCCTAGCTCTAATAGTCAGTTTCATTATGAAAGCAATTACAAAAGTGACTCCTTGAAGCCTAAACAGTGTCCCAACTTTGGTCCATTTTTATAGACAACAGTATGTCATACAGTGTCATGAACCACATAAGCAACTCTAAACAAGTCTAGTAAAATATTACTTAACAACTCAACATGCTTTGAGGCAGGTGTGTGATGATTTAGACTGGTTTGATTACTGGTGCACGAGAGTTTCCATTACGTGTTAGCTACATAAGCCACATAGCTCCAGGGCAAAACTGAAGAAGCAAACATCAGATGCCAAACATATCTTGGCTTTAATACCAGTGGTTTTAACAGTGAAAAGGGCCGATGGAGATTTTGGTTACAGAACAAAAGATAAAGGTTTGCAAAACAAATGCCTTCTTTTATAAAAGAAGCAGACAGTAAATCTCCATTTGAAAAGCAGTATGGTTCCTTGAGGTCAGAGCAGGGCGGGAGGACGGCGTTCAGAGACACACTTCTGGCATTAAACCACGAGGCTCAACTTTAAAAGCAGGGGTTTCTCCCAGTCACTGCACACATGATGTAAGCCTCTGGCAGCCTATTCAAAGACTGTCATTTTTCCCCAGCCAGTCCAGATCAAACACATCTCTATGTATAAACTGTATAAACGAGGCAAATAAAAGCCAGATGTTGCACGGGTAGTCTGATTTCAGAGGAAATCTCGCTCTTTTCCTTTATATCTTGGCAGGCTGATATGCTGCTCTTTCTCTTGCTCATATACTCTTGGGGAATATGTACAAGCTTTGACTTATTTGTGCATCATTAGAGTCCTGTTCAAAAGTTTAGAATAAAGAATAATATTTTAAAAATATAATTTAATAAAATTAAAACTAATACTACAGAACTTAAAAAATTAAAACTTAAAAATGAAAACTGTACTAGAGATAGTATATATAAAATATAGAATCCAATATTCTTTTCGAGAGACTTGCTTTCAGGTCTTCAAAGACATCTGCAGGGATATTTGTCCACACCTCCAATGTTCAGTCTTAGAAGTTGGTTCATCATTTTCTGAAGTAATCCAAACACATTCAGTGATGTTGAGGTCTGGACTCTGGGGTGGTCAGTCCATTGTTCAGCTTCTTTGTTTGATGTGTCCGTCTCCTCTTCTCAGTGAGGTTCTTCTTGAACAGCTACACATCCTTTCAGACCCACAGCGCTGAGTTGTCTTCTCACAGTGGAAGGATGGACAGAAACACCTGTGGATGTTTTCAGATCTGAAGCAGCTTGATTTTCTCCTCTCTCTCAGAGATGAAAGCTTTAAGTGCTGTTTATCTGATGGGGACAGTTTTGGTGTCTACCAGGTCTTCCAGGTGGTTATTAGGAGTCTCATTTTCTCTGTAGCCTTTAATCATTTTTTGAACTCCAGTTTTGGAAACTCTTTTTTCACAAATTTTCCGCTGACTTTCTTCTTTTCCTTATGCAAGTGGATTATCCCATATCTTATCTCAGAAACATATCCTGAAAAATGATTAACTTGTACTTAATGGCTGATTTGATTGGTCATTAAATAAATGAAGGGTGGTCTCTGACTTTTGCACAGTAATCTTTGGGTAAAACAGTGTGGGTGATTCCAAACGTTTGAGCACTAGTGTAAAGAAATGCATACTAGATTTTATGTTTTCTGTTACAAATTCACTACAGTGTAAATAGTATGTTGGTATCAGGTTGCTTTGTGTTGCTATGAAATTAAAGCACATTATGCCAAAATCAGTTAGAAGTATTTAAGTATTGAAGTCTGAATACTCACTTGTATTAGTGTAGTGGAGGCAAGTGTAGGAGCAGGGAAAACCACAAATCTCAGCTTTTCCGGTTCCTCTGGGTCAATATCAACCATCACCTCTCTCCAACCCTTTTCTGTTCTCTGTGAAACATAACCTTATTTAACCAATTTGAAATTGTAGTTTTATTTATTTAAACAGTTACATGCAGAAGTTTACAATACTGGTCAAATGACGTTTTGTTGATTTTGTAAGTGAAAATAAGTCAACACATCCTCTATTTTCCGCATTGTACATTTTAATGCACAATTTCTACTTATTTGCTGAGTTTAACATATTTTATTTTCCCCCAATATGTTAAACTAAGTAAATAAACAATAACTGTGCTTTAAAATGTGCAGAAGTGAGTTTTCACTTATTTTCACTTAAGAAATCAACTAAACATGTATTTTGATTAGGGGTGCCCAAACTTTTGCATATGCTTGTATGTATGTTATTTTATTTCTGCATTATTTTATAACGATCACTTATGCTTTATCTAAAACCACCAGTATTAAATGGCAATTTCTTCATGAAATATTAACCATCAAACTGTAGATTAATATAAAATCTACGGCTATCTCCATGTCTTACCTGAAACTTGTGGATGGGTAGAGCATCAAAGAACTCATGGGCTAAGAATATACTGAAACCTATCGATGAGAGAAAGATGCATTTATAATGAAAACAAACATATTTAAACCTGTTTGTTGAACATGTATGAAGCTGAGTTGTACCTTTGGGGACGTCCTCTATTCTGCGGTACCAAGCAATCGGCAGGCCGGTGTGTGAGGTGCCGGTGCGGTACACTACCTCTTCATCACTCACACACACCTGAGTGTGCTCGCCAGTCAGACATTTAGCCTGGACCTGGCTTAACTTTGGACTGACCTCTACCAGGTGGACGGACACTGCTGCCCCATTTAGAGCCGACTGCAACTGACGGAAAACCTAGGACACACACACACACACACACACATTTGTTTTTATGCCTTGTCAGGACATGAGGTCATATGTCTCAAATGTTCCCTACCTTACATATTTACATGGATTGTTAGGATCTATTAAACCTAAGATATAAATTAAGATAGTAATAAGCTAAATATAACAAAATAATTATTTATAGGGGTTTTTCTATTGGGAGGTGTCTTTACGGCTCATATGGCTCATATCATCATATTCTTTTATATGTAAGTACCTATCTGTAATAATTATGTCCCTTATGTCATAAAACATTTCTAAACCTTACCCTAACTTTAACCTCAGGAACAAAAAATAAAAGGTTTCATTTTTTCAATAGAAACATGGAACTTTTGTAAACAGCACCTTATAAAATCTGGACTGCTTTGGTTGTCTTACAGCTTAACCCTGTATTCTCTGGGTTTAAACATCGGGACATTTTTATTAACATACAAAAACACAGCTAGTAATTCAGATCATTTACGTGTATAAAGTCTGCAGTTAGGATAACTTTTGCTTTGCTAATCTGCAACTGAACAGTGCCCTCTAGTGTTCAATTAGATCTGAAAAGAAACACACAACAAATACATGATTGGGTTTAACATTCCAAAAGACAGCATTCAGCACCAAAGGCTTTCTCTGTTTAGGGCTTTGAAGTTAGAGTTTAGAATGGGTAACAATATTTTAAAAATATAAATTTCATAAAAAAGAACCTCCAAAGTTCAGTCTTAGAAGCTGGTTTTGCATTTTCTGCTTCTCATCATCCAAGTAATCCCAAACACATTCAGTGATGTTGAGGTCTGGACGTTGATGGTCAGTCTATTGCTCTAAGAACACCAGCAGCTTTGTTGTTTGTGGTAAATGTGGTAAACCAGACTTTCCCCACCAGCTCATCACATTAGTAAAGCACTGAGACGTATTTACCCTGAGGATGTCGCTGGTCAGGGAACCTCTTCCTGGCCCGAGTTCTACGAGCTGAAGTGCTTTAGGTTTTCCTGCAGCCATCCACTCACTCACACACCAGACACCTACCAGCTAGAGGAGCAACAGAGAGAGGATGATTTAGAGCTGAATATGACCTCAAGAAAATTAGGCCATGAGTATTTCTTTATAGATTTCCTATCAATCATATAAAACTGACACAAAATTGGACAAAGCTGTGATCTTCCCCACACAGACAAAATGACCTACCTCTCCAAAGATCTGGCTTATTTCTGGTGATGTGATAAAATCTCCATCAGCTCCCAGCATATCATTCTTCACATAATATCCCTGTTGGTATGGCGCACATTACACACAGATTAAATTGTAATAAAAAATAAAGCATGCAAATGCTTAGAGGTGATTGAAAGGCTGTTCACATTTATAGTGCAGAAGGTGAGAACAGCAGAGCTGAGTTACGGCAGAAAATAAAACCTGCAAATATATTAGAAGATTAAAACTTTAGAGGCTCTAAAACTAAAGCAAAAATTTACAAAAGACATTCAAACCCTGGAAGATTTAGAAATACAATTTTTGTGGATGTCATTGCTTTCCATTGTATAATTGTATGAGCTTCAAAGGGGAATCCCACCTGTTTTCAAAATTTCTTCATAATTCAAGCTCTGAGATAAAAAAAAGTCATTCAGAGTGGGTTGAAGTGAAAAGGTTCACTGTTGGGAAACTTATCAACTCAAATATAACACTTTTATTTACTCTCCAGTTTTTTTGCTTTTATATGTAATAATGATATTCATAAAACAGTGGTTTTCTTTGGGGACTACTTTGACATACAACTGCATGTATCTCAAAATAAAGTTTCCCAGGCATCAGACCCCATATTCCTAACCATTAATAACTTTCTATGAGGTACCTTTTAGGGTCAGATGTCTGGTTCCTATCACCACCACTGTGAACAATTCTGTCTCTTTAAATTTCTCTAGAGCTTAGCAATTCACATTACACCACTCTGACAGACTTTGTTTACATCTTAACTATTTAGTTATGCAAAAAAGAGCAGAAATTGGTGGAATTCCCCGCTAACATAACAAGATCAGCAGAAATGTGCAAGTGGTTGAGTTTTACATAGACGTGTTGTTACACATTAAGCAATGCTAAGACAAGAACACTATATTTCAGGAAAACAACAACTACAGATGCAACTTCCTATAGATTTGGGGAGGTAAACAGCTACGTACTGAAACTGGGTTGGTGAGAACCTCTCGCATGTACTCCGCTACTGTAATAGGTCCAGTGGCTGTGATCTTGGAGGTTAGGTGTCTCAGCATGGATGGCTCGGTCCGGCCTTCCACAGACGTCGAACAATGTCTGCTCAGCACCACAGCCCATATTCCTGAAACAGATATTACAGATAAACAGATACTATTTCAGACCTTTTCGAAAAACAATTTTAGTGTTTTGTTAGGTGCACCTCTAAAGTAAGATGTTACTTCCTATAGGCCTCCATGGCACACAGAACATGACTTTTAGAAACCCTGATTTAGAGTAAATACAGTAATGTTCTCTAATAGTTGTGCTTATTTGCATCTTATTGTTAATCCTCATTAAAAAAAATGGAGCACATGTAATCTTTTATCTTTGCTGGGACTATTTTACCTCTACACTCATCTGAACGTTGTGAGCAGTGATGTGTTTCTAGAGACCATCTTAACTCTTTTCCCGCACCTGAAGTGCAATCTAAAGCAAATACGTCAGAAAGGGGAGTAACAGTAGCTGTGAAGCTGATCAGTAAATATTATGGGATGGATCATGATCTCACAAAAGTCCAAACATCTTTTGACCCAACAGACCTAAACATTTCCTGTACAATCATATTTAGGGCTCAGTTTTTAAACACCTCAGTGTCACTGCAGGACTGAGAACGGTCCACCACCAAAAAAATATCCAGCCAACAGCGTCCTGTGGGCAGTGTCCTGTGTCCACTGATGAAGGACTAGAGGATGACCAACACAAACCGTGCAGCAGCAGATGAGCTATCATCTCTGACTTTACATCTACAAGGTGGACTGACAAGGTCTAATAGAGTGGACAGTGAGTGGACACAGTGTTTAAAAACTCTGTGTGATCCACTCGTACCAGCACAACACACAATAACATGCCACCATCAGATTTGAATGAGATTGAATGAGATGAGATTGAACCACCTCCCAAATTATACCTGCTCTGTGGTGGTCCTGACCACTGAAGAACAGGGTAAAAGGGGGCTAACAAAGTATGCAGAGAAACAGATGGACTAACTACAGTCTGTAATTGTAGAACTACAAAGTGCTCCTACATGGTAAGTGGAGCTGATAAAATGGACAATGAGTGTAGAAACAAGGAGGTGGTTTTAATGTTATGGCTGATCAGTGTATAACAAACATATTAATACACAATATTTTCACCTCTGTGTAACAGTGCTGTCTTATACAATATATAATGCTTGTGTAGCATCCTACAGTAAACCACAGCAACTGTCATACTTTACTGTAAGACTCTTACAGAAATCCTGTATAAAGACTACAGATGTTTTTCATTAAGTACAATAAGCTTCACTTACCCACTGCTTTCTGTGTATATCCTAAGCGGCACTCCAGCACTGAAAACCCCTTGGCACCCTGTGCTGGGGTAAAAGAACGGACAGAAGTCCTGCTAATGCTGACCACCTTCAGTAACGTCCTCATTTTGAACTAAACTAACAGCACTGTTACAGTTAGAGGTGAGTTGAGTTCAGGTGGCTCACAGCTACAGAAGCTTTGCAATTATAAAACACTGTGAATTCGTCTTTTAGAACAACCCCCTAGGTCTTCTGACATCACAGAAAAAACACAGATCACAAAACGTGCAGAAAAACGACAACTGAAACATGTTTGACCCCTCGGTTTGTAGCCATTGCGAAGTCAGATTGTGATTGGTTTAATTCTGCATAGAGAAGCTCTCGCTCATTGGGTGAATCTCTGGCTGAATCTCAAATGCCTCCGTACTCCCTATGTAGTGCGCTACGTAGGTCAAAAAACTATGACTTCTACACATAAATTTAGCACTACGTGTTAACAATAGAGTCGTACATCGTAGGGTTGAATATCTGGCCTTCTTTTGGAGATATGTTTACCTGTTTGAGTGCAGAGGCCTTTGTTTCACGAGCTACGTAGTGCACTATATAGGGAGTATGGAGCCATTTGGAATTCAGCCCTTAACTATGACCCTTTAACGACGTGACGAAAGATCCTGTTAAACTAAAAAAGGAAATAAAGCATATACATTTTTATTTTAACCTAACAAAAGTTTTTTTGGTGTTGTATATTAATATTTTACAATCAATATTATCTATGTGTATTAAATGATTTAAGCGATACATTTGGTCTAGAACTTACAGGACGAGGTTACAGGACAGCTGCTTTTATTCTTTTCCGCTTCCAGGACCTGCGCCTCTCTAAGCCCATGTGTGTAGTTTCCAGCATGGCTACGAAAGGCAAACAGCGGCCAAAAGCCGTGAGACGGGAGGAAAATGAAGAGGACACGTTTGAAAATGACAACGACGAAGCAGAGGAAGGGGGGCAGGACGGGGACGAGGAGTTTACTCTGGAGGATGTCCTGCGTTTGGGTGGCACTAAGGTGAAGAAAACTGAGAACTAAACGTGCAGCTCGCTAACTCAGCTAGCTCAGTGCTTCATACGAGGACCCTCAGAGCAGAGCAGCCACACGTGGAGAGCTGCGTTTAGTCTGGGGGGCTGCAGATGTAGTCTAGTCGAAAAACACATGCAGTTCAGTTATTTAGTTATTATAGTAATCACTGCTTTCAGAAATCCTTTGTCCCGCTGTGCTTCATTGCTTATGGAAGCCTGTTTCCGCCACTGGAGAAAAAGTCACAATACTGAGAGTTTTCTATCGTTTTGACTTAGTGTCTTATAGTCAATGAGATAGTAACTCGTAATTATGAGATACTAAGTGATAATTATGAGATATAAAAGCATAATAATGAGATGTTTAGTCATAATTATGAGATATTAAGTTACAACAATGAGATGAATTATGGGAATATAAGCCATGATATGATGCTAAGTCATAATAATGAGATGCTAGGTAATTATGTAATATTAAGTCATCATTATGAGATTGAATCTCATAATTATGGGAAAGTAAATCATAATTATGAGGTACTAAGTCATAATTATGGAAAACCTTCTCATTATTATGCCTTACTAGATGGCTATATATATATTTTTTCCGGTTGCAGAAATTGGCTTCCATAATTGCTAGCTTTTGTTCTAACAGGGGAAGTCAGTAAGAGCTCATCTGCCTCAATTCTTTCATTAACGTTTCATTACATACTTCAAATAAGTATGTTGGGAGTTGTTTTGGGACTTGAAAGGAACCTGGGTTCATGTTTATTATGAAATTTGTTATTTTATTTACTATACAAAGTGAGCATCTTATGAATTACTATATATGTTGTTGATAATGGTAAAATAGTGGAATTCTGAAAAAAATAAGTTTTCTTTTGGAACTGTTTCACCTTGCAGCAGTTGCTTGTACCTCTTTGTCATGGATGGGTTTTAATAAATGGGTTTTAAGCCAAAACTGTATCTCAAAACTATCGTAAAACAATTTCTCAGGCAGTGTATTCATAAAAAAAATCATGTAATAACTTTCTGTGAGGGAGCATTTAGTGATACTAAACTCTTCGAAATTCTGGTTATCACCATCACTGTGAACAATTCTGACACTTTAGAAGGGAGCAGTTCACATCAAACTACTGTGAATGACATTTTTTAATATCTTAATGATGGAGTTTTGCAGAAATTTGGAAAAAATTGTTGGGAAAACCCCCTAAGTGTAGTAGTTAAGTTGCCTGAAGTTGGAACTATCAACTAGTAGTGTTTTTTACATAAAAGTTTATGTAAAATATAATAGATGTCAATTATTAATTCTTTATTTCTTTGTTCATACAGGCAGACTATGTTATGCTTGTTGGCCTCGATGACAGTAACGAGCTAGTAAATGGCGGAAAGAAGGGTGCCATCGACGATTTGGAGGATGGTGAACTAGAACAGTTCATCACGAAGCTGGGAATCCGTAACTATTTAGACCAGCAGATTGTGAAAGAAGACGGCGACGATGATGATGAACAAGAGGAGAAACCCACAGAACCCGCTGAGAAAAAGGAGGTCAAGAAAAAGGAACCTTCCAAAACAGAGTCTGACAAAGCCAAGCAAGAAGCGGAGCGCAAGAAGAGGGATAAAGAGGCAAAGAAAGCAGCAGCTGCTGTAAAGAAGGCCAGGCAAAACGCGAGCATTTTCGAGTTCTACCCCAGACAGACGCTTTTGGTCAAACCTGGGGGAAAATGGTATGATATAGACTACACTTCAGAGACCAGCTCTTCAGCTCAAGACGAGTCATTAGTTTCTCAGTACAAAGTTTTGGCTCAGAAGCTCTTTGAGGCCGAAGCTGAACTCTATAAAACCAAGAAGAACTTTCAGAAAGGAGCCAACACGACCTGGATGAAGAATGTTGTTTCTACAGGAACTCTGGCTGACAGAATGGCCGCTCTGACGATTTTGATCCAGGATGCTCCGGTGCACTGTCTGGAGCACATTGAGAGCTTGGTCACTTTGGTCAGAAAGAAGGGCAGTCGCAGGGAAGGTCTGATGGCTGTGGAAACCCTTAAGGAACTTCTGTTGTCTGACCTTTTGCCAGAGAAGCGTAAGCTTCGTGCCTTCGCACAGCGACCTTTCAACGAGCTGGAGGAGCGAGCCAGCGGCAACAGAGACGTCCGAGACCGGAGGCTAATCCTGTGGTACTTTGAGCACAAGATGAAGCTGATGATGGCTGAGTTTGTGGTGGCCCTTGACACTTTGGCTCATGACTCCGTCCTGGCCTCTAAAACCAAGGCGCTAACCACTGCTCATGAGCTGCTCTGTAACCGCCCAGAGCAGGAAAAAGCCCTGCTGGCTCACATAGTCAACAAGCTAGGAGACCCTGAGTACAAAGTGGCCTCCAAAGCGTCCTATCTGTTGGAGACGCTGCTCCACAAACACCCCAACATGAAAGGGGTGGTCTGCACCGAAGTGGAGAACCTAATGTTCAGGCCCAACATCAGCCCCAAGGCTCAGTACTACGCCACCTGCTTTCTCAACCAGGTCATGCTGAGCCACGAGGAGGCCGACCTGGCCACCAAACTCATCACCATCTACTTCACCTTCTTCCGCATGTGCGTCAAGAAGAAAGACGTGGAGTCCAAAATGCTCAGTGCTCTGCTGTCAGGAGTGAACAGGGCGTATCCGTACACTAAGGTGGGCGACGAGAAGGTGCAGGAGCAGATGGACACACTGTTCAGAGTGGTGCATATGGTGAAGTTCAGCACCGCACTGCAAGCTCTAATGCTGCTATTTCAAGTCATGAACTCTCAGCAATCGGTGTCAGATCGCTACTATGTAGCTCTTTACAGGTGAGTGCCGATTTATGGCTTTAATTTATGGCTTCAAGTGACTTTTTGCTCCACATACAGACTGCACTCTGCACTGTTAATATTATATAGCATCCCACAGCTGTTATGCGGTGTATAGAGATGGGCAATATGGCAAAACTATAATATTGGAGGATATCACGGTATTTATATTTTCAGACACCTGATGAGTTGGAACAGAGGAAAAAAAACAGTGGTGCCACATCTTAAAAATAAAAAATAAAAATTAAATTTAAAAAATTTGTTTCTTTTGCAAACTATATTTATTTTGCATACTATGTTGCACTAAATCCAGTTAAACTGGACTGATTTTGCTCCCTTTATAATGAAACATGCAGTTGATTAGTGTACTTAGAATATACACAGTGTGTTCAGAAAGGCATTTTGTATTGTCGTATAATTGATCATGATAAAAATATACGTTATCATTTTGCCCATTCCTAGTAGTACAGTTGCCAAGTTTGTGTGGATCTGCTTCTCACAGGAAGCTGCTGGATCCAGGCTTGTCCGTGTGCTCGAGGCAGAGCATGTTCCTCAACCTGCTGTATAAATCCCTGAAAGCAGACGTAGTCCTGCGGCGGATAAAGGCTTTTGTAAAGAGGCTTCTGCAGGTCAGCTGTGAGCAAAGCCCAGCCTTCGCATGCGGAGCGCTCTTCCTGGTGTCAGAGGTGATGAAGAGCAAGCCTGGCCTCAAGCTCCTTCTACAAGAACAAGAGGTATGTCCTATTCTAATAATAACATAAGTAGTAATAGTAGCAACTCAAAGTAAAGTTAATAGGAACATTTATTAATAAAAATAAAAGGTAAAAGAACTAAAATCAAGAGTGTTAAACTGAAATAAAAATAAAAGACAAACTAATAAAATAGGATTCTAAAAAATGCAAAAAGGAAAGATGTGGACGAGACCATAGGGGAGGCAGGGCAAAACATTTTGATGTCTGAATACATCGTCTGGAGACACAATACCAACACAATATTTTTGTTTTTCTAACTTAGATAAAAACCACCAAAAAAAAGCTAAAAAACCTGTAACTTTAAACTGTAAATTTAGTAGAATTTCAGAAATATTGTAGAAATGCTGGTGATACCAGGAAAGTATATTTTGTGACATAATTTAAGGTATTGTACACGTATTTTCATATGTCTTGTATAATACCAACATCTTTGCATCTGTCTTCTTTATTTACAAATATACACATTAGGATGCTGAGGAGGAAAAGTTTGAAGACCTTAAAGGGGAAGATGATGATGAGGAGGAGAGGTTTGTGGATGCTGATAAAGTTGAAGAGGGACAGAGTGAAAAACCTGAGCAGCCCAAACCAACTGCATCTTGGGTACATCACCAAAACCTGGAGGGTAAAGTGGATCAATTTTAAAATATTTGTGATGCTGTTGGATTTCGTGTTTTGCTGCAGTTTGAAGCCGCGGTCACGTTTGTTAGAACACTTTTGAGAAATATGAAGCAAGTTTATAGAGAAGTCTTTATTGTTGAACAGGTTCTTTATGCTGTTTTGTTTAATTGTATGGTTATATTTTACATTAAACACACTGATAACTGTAATGAGTCAGTAAATGTCCATTAATTTGCTGCAGGCACCATATGTTTGTTTGCAGACCAATGTCGTGGTTATATTTTAATCTTTGATAAGATAAAGTCTCTCGTACCTGCTGTCTTCTGTAATGTTTTGTAGCTACAGTGAGGGAAAAAATGGCAGAACTTGATTGGTCATATTAATTTTCTCTTTTCGTAATTATATTATTTATTTTGCAAATGGTTTTCATCAAAAACATTCCTCCTCCTCAAGCAAACTTTTTATGATTTTATTCGATATTTGCCATTTCCCTGGAAACTCCAAAGGCTCCTGATCCTTCTTAAATTGCATGCTTCTTTTTATTCAAGAGTTTGAATTGAGTTTACTTTGGCCAAAGGTACCTAATGAAGTATTAATGTTTTGTTATCAAAAATCATACAATGCTGAATCACAGCGGACTTTTTTATTACATTGAAGCAGACTCTTAAATGAAGTGAAAAAGATTTCTCCAAAGTGATTTAGATTAATTACAAGTAGAAAACACAAAGGGCCTGATTCATAAAACTTGGCAGTAACAGCGCTACACCATACGAAATGTGCAGCACTGTAAATAAGAGCTATTCATAAAGTTACGGTAACCCTCATTTATGAATGAGTTAATGTTTTACCAGCATGCTTTTTGCTCTTAATGTCACTGAAAATCTGCTGTTTTATGAATCGGGCCCAAAGTACCCGATTGTATAAATGTTTACCACCTTAATATGATTCTCATACATCATCACTGGTGTAGCCAGTTGTTCTTAAGTCAGAGAATTAGTTAAATGGAGATCACCTGTGTGCAGTCAATGCACCGGGATCTAGAAGGTCCAGCTTCTGGTGATGTCTCCCAGTCTGATGCTGACCCCCTGCACACAGTCAAAGCTACACAGGAATGGTGTAAAAACAATGTTATCGTTGTGGAGTGGCCAAGACAAAGGTCCAGATGTCAAGCCAATAGAGGGATTGTGGCTGAACTCTCACGATACCCAAGCAACCTGACAGAACTTGAGCAGTTTTGCAAAGAGGAATGAAGAAAAATTGCAGTGTCCAAAAGCGCCGTGATTGATGCCAAAGAGCATCTCTAAATGCTGACTTAACGGGGTGAAGTGTTATGCAATCAGTTACTTTGTTTTGTAACTGAATAATTTAAATCACTTAACAGAGACTGTTTTTCACTTTGACATTTGATATTCTGTGGTAATAAAACGTGAAGACTTTCAAGGAGGTGAACACTTTTTATAGGCATTGTAGGTGTTTGTAATTAAGTTAATTATTAAGTTAATTAAAGCTGCACATGCTTCTCCACTAAAACTTTCATTAAGGATATTTCTCTCTCCGTGCAGCCACTATTAGATCTCATTTGGAAACTGTATTTCCTGTTTTCTGCTGCAGGTGGTAAAAGCAGGGAGGCGTATGACCCGACTCACAGAAATCCTTTGTACTGTGGAGCAAACTACACCACACTGTGGGAGCTGCAGAAGGTACGGAACTCTTTCACTTTTGAGAATGAGTGTGCGCCTGATCTTGTTGATGATCTTGTGCCTTACTTGGGTATTTTGTCTTTTGTAGCTCTGTGTTCATTTCCACCCCTCCGTGGCTCTTTTTGCAAGGACCATAATGCAGGTGAGTGTAAAGACACCTGACGCTCCTAACACTTCTTACTAGGGATGTGCACAGGTACTTGAGTACTCAGTTCACAGTTTGTGGTGGCAGTATTCAAATACTGAAGTACTGTTTGGGTATTTGTCACCTTTCATTATGGGAAGACAGAGAAAATACACAGGCTAAAAATCTGTGAAATGTTGGTTTTATGTCATAACAGGACTTTAAGTATATCATACTTAAGCTACTACAAGAAAGGAGTGCCCGAATGTGTGCACATGGCCAATGACGTGACGGAAAAGGCAAAGATAGATAGCACGACTTTCACTAACTAGGCTGATGATAGCTAGGTCCAACAGTGGAAATATTATTATTATTATTATTATTATTATTATTATTATTATTACATACAAATAACATTTTGGGACCTTGTCCACTGGAAAAAAAAGACCTAGTGTTGAAGGTGACTGGTCATCATCAGCATCAGATAAATTGGGTGAACCAACATGAGGAGGGTGTAGCCTACATACAGCAATTCAAGTGTAAAACTCAGTACCAGTACGATTAGAATTACTTTCTTTTCAAAATGTCTAATGCTTGATATGTCAGTGTTAACCTCAAAATAAACAATAATACAAGCAGGAACCATGCCACATACTTTTGGATCCATGTTTAATATAGAGATTGATTTGTGTTGCCTATTATATTTGCAGTTTTTATTCATTTCTGTTGTCACTGAAATTCTAAGTCTGATAAATAGCTCAATAATGATATCGGTGGAGATAATTAATATTATGACCAGTCAACAGGCTTTTGCTGAGAAGCTAACAGTCCATACTTTGAAGCTTTGTAGAATAGAGAGTCAATAATGACATAATGGTACAAATAAAGGCCACTTTAGCAAAACGAGGTGATATTATTGATTTAGGAGAGTGTGTGGAAAACGTTGTGCGTCATTCTCAGAAATGTGTTATTATTAATGTAAGCTGTGTACATCCCATGAGCCACCAGTATTATCTAGTGTAATTTCAAAAAGTGTCGCTCCGCTCCAATTCAGCAGCACATTTTTCTGTGTCATCAGGGAGAGTTCATCCAGTACACAGGAGACCCTCTGCAGGACTTCACACTCATCAGGTTTCTGGATCGCTTTGTGTTCAGAAACCCCAAACAAATAAAGGGCAAACGTAAGCAAAATATTCTTCTGCATGTTCTAATGACATTAAGGAGTACACCACCTGTTAACCCAGATTTTAATCTCTTACTCACATAACCAAATGATACCTCATTATTCTGCATTATTTTTCATTGTAAATGTAGTTACTGAGCCTTAGAATGAGTGTCTGTGAAGTTTAAAAGTTAAACATTTACATAATATCACCATTCTCTCTTCTTTTACAGAAAACACAGAAGCCACTGTAATGCAACCAAAGCACAGACAGTCCATGAGTAACGTCCGCTCATTACCTGGTGAGTATTTCTGTATGTAGGAATACAGAAAAATAAGTGATCATTGTATTTTTAAAAAAATGAAAAAAATCACTGGCCAAATATATTTTTTTGCAACTTCCCAGTAAACTCCGAGGAGTATCTGGCGAAAGAGGAGAGTCAGATCCCTGTGGATGAGGTGTTCTTTTACAGGTAAGTGTTTAATGGTTGACTGAACATTGGCCTTAATTGAACTTGCTTGACCTAAAACTTGCATTCAGCTTAGTTGTTATATCCAGTATTATGTAGCGCAGTGTTAAATCCCTCTGCCTCATAAATGTTGTTTTATGCATGAAAAGTAATGTGTGAGGCAACCTCAGCTTCATCGTATTTCTCAATTGATTTGTCTCATACGCTTGTCCCATACACTCACCACTCAGGCCATCAGTCACTGCTGGAATTTGGAAAATATTACAGTAATTCACACGTCAGTACCAGCTGGTACCTTCTACACCACTGTAGGAGGCGAGTTCTCATGTTTAGAAGGGATTTAGCGAGGGGTAAATGTTTCGTTTTGGTCAGAGTGCCCCTTTTAATGGACCTTAGAATAACACTAACGTGATTGCGTATTTTTGGTGATACTGATAAGACCATTTTAAGTGCAGATATTAAACAGACTTGTCAGCACCAGCAACCACAGAATGCAGCAGCAGCTGTTAAAGCTCTTCGTTCTTTCACTTTTCAGGTTCTTTAAGAAACGTGAGGGAGAGAAGCGGCTGCAGAAGCCTCGAGGAGGTGATGATGAGAGTGTGGAAGATGTGGATGATGATGAGTTTGACCGAATGCTTGGTAAGTACAGCAAGAGTAAAAACGGCAAAGATGTTTAGAAACCAGAAGGTTCTCCCTGTGACATGTTTAGAAACCAGAAGGTTCTCCCTATGACATGTTTAGAAACCAGAAGGTTCTCCCTGTGACATGTTTAGAAACCAGAAGGTTCTCCCTGTGACATGTTTAGAAACCAGAAGGTTCTCCCTGTGACATGTTTAGAAACCAGAAGGTTCTCCCTATGACATGTTTAGAAACCAGAAGGTTCTCCCTGTGACATGTTTAGAAACCAGAAGGTTCTCCCTATGACATGTTTAGAAACCAGAAGGTTCTCCCTGTGACATGTTTAGAAACCAGAAGGTTCTCCCTGTGACCAGCATTGTTAAAATAATGTACTTTTTCAGACACTTTTGAGGGCGACAGCTTCTTTGCGGATTTTAAGGATGCTGAGCTGGACTTTGCTGGGTAAGTCACCTTTAATTGTATTGGTTAAACTGCTACAGTAAACATAGAAACAGCAACATTTTTTCTCCATTTTTTATGATGTGCATAAACGAGTGCTAAAAATAAAGCAAGACAGATTAGACATGCTTTGTACTTAAGAGCAGCCAAATGTACTGCATAAGGAATATATATCCCAATGCGAAAAATAAAATGTGAAATATGGTCTCTGCAAATGTTATGGCACATCCATATTTGTCAGTATGATAAAATCAAATAAAGCAAATAATACATTTAATAAAAGCAAATAAATAGAAATTGTCATTTTATTAAGTGTGTTCCCTGTAGAGGGTATTTTCCACTCAGAAACTTAATGTAATTTTACCAGGGATTGTTTTTGCATACGACTGTTGCTTTCTTTTATTTCATAAACCAATAAAATGCTAGAGATTGTGCTTTAAGTCACTCATATTGAAACGAGCTGCGGGCAGCAAAAATGTGCATCAGATAACGGAAACCTATTTAATGAATCTCTCTTACAGTAATGTGAAGGCCAAATCCAAGAAAGGCAAAAAGGCTGAAGACTCTGACTCTGACCTGGACTCAGAAGATGACCTGGATGATGAGGAAGTGTCTCTGGGAAGTATGGACAGGGAAGAGTTTGGAGACGAGCTAGAGGAGGAAGGTGGCGAGTTTATGGACCTTGAGGGAGAGGATGAGGAAGAAGGTGGGTGTGTAGTGAGTTTGAGCTGGCCTGAATAATTTGAATATTTGAGTATTTGTTTGTTACATAGGTATTTATTTCTCTCTTTAGTATTCAGAAGCTTTGTCTCTTTTGTTAAGGTACATAAATTGTAAAAGGAAAAGAATTTCGGAAAGAACTGTTATTTTTAATATCTGAGAACATATGGAGATAAATAAATTACAGCTGGTTTAGTTGAATACATGAAAAGTCACTTCACCTCAGAGCACAACAAACCGCCCCACTTTTTACACACTTACTGAAGCTAAAAGAGCAAAGATGCCCTGAAAATCATGTGGGAGCTCTTTAAAGAGGAATTGCATTTATTTTTAAATGTAAACACATCATTCAGAGTGGTTTGGTGTAAATTGTTCACTGTAGAGAAACTAACAGACTCAGATTTCTTTACAGTGGTGGTGATAGGAACCAGGGGTCGCCATGACTACAACACAAATATAGCCATTTTATTTACTATCCAAAACCACCAGTGAACCTACACAGGTCTCCTGAGATTTTATATGCAATATTAGTCATGGCAAAATAGTTGTGAAACTGAAAGAAAAATATTTTTTGGAGTCTGTTTTGCCTTACAATGCTCTGCATCTCTCCGCCATGAATGTTGTTAGGCCAAAGTCATATCTCAGATTTATCGTGAACAATGTCTCAGGCATCAGGCAGTGCATTCGTAACCATTTAATGTAATAATTTTCTGTGAAGGAGCTTTTAGAGACACTCTTCAGATATCTGGCTCTTTTCACCACCACTGTGAACAATTCTGACTCTAGAATGTAGCTGTTTGCATGAAACCACTCTGAATTACTTTACATTCATAACCACTTAAACATCTGTGGATTTCCCCTGTAATACATAATTAGGTCTACTGGAAATGTTTTAAACTGCAGTAAGAAATATTTTAAATAATAAACTGAAGCTAAATGTAATGTTTTTATATTTCAGTACCAGAGCTCGAGGACGACGAAGGAGACTTTGATGGTGCGTTTCTCGATTTTTTTTTTTTTAAAAGCGTATTAGTAGTTGTTGTTCAGGCATATGTGCAGTTCATAAATCTCTGATCTGTTTTGTTAATATCTTGTGTTTGAAGGTGAGGATGAAGACATGGATGATCCACCAGACATCAGAACAAAACTCAAAAAGGGAAAGAGGAAATCGTCAGAGCAGTTTGACTTCTCTGGATCTTTGGGTGAGCTGGGGACTTTCAGTACTTTCATCTCTCTCTTTATAGCTTTACTCTTATGAAGCTATTTAATGTAGATTTAAGTATAATACAATGGAAGCCTATCTACATTTGCACTACAAGGCATACGTGTATATATAATAAAATGATTATCATTTTATTTTAACTTTATTTTTGATGCTATACAGCTTTCTTAGTTGTTTTTGTTTACAGGCTCCTAACTTTCCTGTAATAAATGTTCTGAAATTATTTGTAATCGGTTGGATTCGCTTTATTGAAAACATTGATTTCAGTCTGTTGAATTGTACCTAATAGACATCTGATGGTTATATGTTCTGAATAACCATACATTTGCTCTTCCTTTAGGGCTGAAACCAGAAAAGAAGAAAAAGAAAGGAAAGAAGGATGTAGCAATGTTTGCATCAGCTGAAGAGGTAAAAAGTCTTTTTTTCTGTCATACACAATGATTTTGCACAATATTTTAAGTATCTATGAAGGGTGTGCACTTCGTCTAAGAATTGCAGTAGCAGTTTGTCTGAGTTCTGCTCTCTTAAAGATGTGATGTCTCCTTTTTTTCCCAGTTTGGGGAACTGCTGGATGAAAACGTGGGCTCCATGTTTGACAACCTTGGCATGAACGCGATGGCCAACAAAGATAAAGCCAGTGAGTACTGAACACAGACAGCTGTGGTATGTGAGAGAAAAGTGGGAAAAAATGGACAGATCATGGATTAAACAGTTGTATTTATTGATTTGGCTAGATGCTAGCCAAACTCCCCCCACAAGGGTGAAGTTACTTAATGCTGACTGACATCCAGGGGGCCTGTCAGCATATAAATAATCAACCATCAGTGACACTCATTATTCACCACTGTACCTATCCATACGTTCACTTTATTCACTGTACTTATTTCTACTGCAGCAGACTAAACTTGTCCTTCTCTTTTTCCTCTTCCAGGTGTCAAACAACTGAAATGGGAAGCCCAGCGTGACGAATGGATCCGAGGGCGCGACGTGAAGACGCTCCGGAGGAAAAAGACCATGTTTAAAAAAAGGAAACAGTTTGGAAAAGCCAAACCAGCCAAAAGAACTGCTGGCAAAAAGAAATGAACAGTCTGACATCCTCTTGTGTATCTGTGTGCCTTTAATCTTGCTTAGACCACGCTTCCCGATCTGCTTCCCGGATGCCATAAATTCCAGACCACTCGTTGGACTTGTAAAAAACTGAGAGTAAAGGAAGAGTGTTAAGTTCATCAGGGAGTTCGTTATTCATGTTTAGTTGCCCTGTTAGTGGCAAATGTTGCTATCAAGGACACAAAACTACGGATCCCCGGAGGGGACGGAGGTAAAAAAAAAAAAAAAATTATAATTTGAGCGAACATTTTGTAGTTCGTACGCACATTTTCTCTTATTCGTGGTCACGATTTCTTAAATCGTTACCTCATTTTCTTTTAAGCGTGCGCACTTTTCTTTACTTCGTGGGTTCGTTTTTTTTTATTCGTGATCACGATTTTCTAGTTCGTTTTCTCTTAACCGTGGTCATGTTTTATTTTTAACTGAATGCACGTTGTTTGTGTTTTGATAACAGCTCCCTGAGACTGTCTGATGGGTTTTGATGAGTTAGATTGATGAGATAATGAACAGAGATGCTCATCAGGTCTGATTTTGATCTGGGGGGTTATGAGGAAACTGCAGCTCCTCTTCACAGCGAATGGCCCCCGGTGTTCCTGCTCCTGCGTCAAGCTGCGGTGTTAGAGACCGTCATACAATTACAGGACGAAATGATCAGCGTTTCAACATCCTCGCATTAATATATCTACATCTAATCCATAGATCTATTAAACTCTCTCGCTATTTGACCTCATCCCACATGAATGTTTCTGTGTGTGTTTAATCTGAGTTTGTTGAAACGTTGACGCTGATCATTTCTTCCTGTAATTGTGTGATGATCTCTAACACCACAGCTTGTTGCGGGAGCAGAAACAGCGCTAAGCGGCCGCTCTGTGTCTATGTCTGTTAAATATGATCATTAGACAGTGCAGTTTAGTGAAGGTTGTGGTTGTAGTTTATTGTCTTCCTTCATTTCACCACCAAACTGCAGCTGCACTGATGAATCTGAGGGCCATTTGCTGTGAAGAGGAGCTGCAGTTTCCTCATAACGCCCCAAATCAAAATCAGACCTGATGAGCATCTCTGTTCATTATCTCATCAATCTAACTCATCAAAACCCGTCAGACGGTCTCAGGGAGCTGTTATTTACTTCTGCACCGGACAAGAAACACGACCTGTATCTACTACACTGATTTTGCGCACGAATCAAAAAAATAAACAACGTGCGTTCAGTTAAAAATAAGGCATGACAACGATTAAAAGAAAACGAGAACGGATTAGAAAATCGTGATCACGAATAAACAAAAACGTACCCACGAAATAAAGAAAACGTGCGCACGTTTAAAATAAAACAAGGGACCGATTTAAGAAATCGTGACCACGAATAAAGGAAAACGTGCGTACGAACTGCAAAACAGTCGCTCGAATTAATTATTTTTTTTTACCTCCGGGGCTCTGTACAAAACAGTTCAACATGTAAAAACGTGCATTTTGTAATAAATGTTGTTTTACAGTTTGTTTTTCTTTGATGCTATAAATACTACAACAAGTGACCAATCCAACTGATAGTCAATAAAAGGATTATAATTACATGTAACAAAAAAAAAATTCTGAGTACTATACAAAACGAAATGTAATCACTTTACAAAATTATGTGGTATTTTTCCAAACGTTTGTGGTATTTTTTTCAAACCGCTTTCAGAAAGAAAAAAAAAACTACACAAAGAGATGTGATTGAGATCTGGGTCACTGGCTGATACAGTCAGATAATGAGGATGAAAAAAGCAGATGACTGGAACTGGAGAGGACATTTAATTCTGTACATCTTGCTATATAATATGTACACAATGTTCTATACCTTTCTACTGTAAAATTAATGGATTAATAAGCCGTTAATCTATTGTAGAGTAAATTTCCACTGTCTATACGGGTTGTAGAGAGCATTTTATCACCATTTTCCATACAGCTCCTGATTTTTTTAACAAGATCATGGTCATTATTTTTAGATGCTGCCCAGGCCTAATTAGATTACAGGATTTTTTAAATACTCCTAATGTATCATTGGTCTAATATTGAATCTTTTGAAAGGGGAGAATTGAGTGTTGCATCATAAAATTGAAACTGGAAAGAATCAATGTACCTTCAAGAACTGATGGGAAGTACTTGTTCATTGTGCCTCTAAAATCTGAAAGAAAATTCAACATATTCACAATGTTTCACAGGAAATTCCACTTATTTTTTTTATTTCTGCATAATTAAGTCTTTGAGAAGTCATTCAAAGTGGTTTTGTGTTCACTGTAGAGAAATTTACTAACTAGATTTCTTAACCGTAGTGCTGATAGGAACCAGGGGTCACCTTGTCTGAAACACAAAAACAGCTGTTATATTTACTGTCCTTGTGAACCGGCATGTGTTTGTGTAATCTTGTAAAACGGTGGTAAATCGGAAAAAGTTTTCTTTGGGCAGTATATTTATCTTATAGCTATCCGCTATGAATGGGTTACAAAAATGTTTTAGGTGAAAATCTTTTCAAAACTCAACAGTGTCTCAGGCATCAGGCAGCTTATTTATAACCATTTCATGTAATAACTTTCTGTTAGGGATTTTTGGAGACAAACTTTTCAAACGTCTGATTCTTATCACCACCGCTGTGAACAATTCTAAGTTTCTTTAGGATGGAGCATTTCATACTAAACCACTCTGAATGACTTTACATGTTATCCATTCAATTAAGCAGAAAATGTGAAAAATTGATGTCAATGTAAGGAAAAAATATCAAAGTGTTCTTATAAAAACTATATTACCTTGGCTGGAGTTCATTTTATGAAACAGCCCATAGGCTGCAAACACACCAGCAACCTCCAGAAGAATAACTCCTTTGAATATTCTTCTGGCCATGGGCTCCATGGTCTTGGGGGCCATCTAGAGGAGAGATTGGAGGACAGTGAGCATTAATGAAACAAGTGCGAAGAGATGTGTGGTGAAGAAGGAAACACAAGTATCACTGGGGAAAAGGAAGTGTGCTTGTAATGCCTTCAGATAAAGCGGTCACTGAACAACCCCTGTTTCCACTCACTGGTCACTTTGAGCTCTATCGACCTTACAGATCCAGTATAGAAAAACACAATGATACTTTTCATTCATTTTACTGAATTTGTAAACTAATAGAAATGTAATTTCTTCAAGATGCTAATCAAGATGAATCTAGTCCCAGTTTCTTCTTTTTATAAATGTTATTTACTGCATTTCTAACACAGGTAAGTGTTACATTTCTCCATATTGCTAATCCAAGTGGATCTAACTCTAGTTTCTACATTTATTAAATGTTTCTGTATCAGCGCTGGCCGTTATGTATATAAAATTCCCATATCAGTGCATCCTTATTAGAAGTGTGTATAATTAGAAATGGTAGCCCACCTGTTGCTGTATTTTATCAGCCCCCTCTGCCCCATTAACTGCTGAAGTTACAAATAGTGTTTCACAGGACAGCCAATCAGAACAGAGGTTCTTTGTATGCATCCATCAGTTATAACACTAAAACCACCTTCTTGTATCTACAATCATTGTCCATTTTATCAGCTCCACTGACCATGTAGGAGCACTTTGTAGTTCTACAATTACAGACTGTAGTCCATCTGTTTCTCTGCATACTTTGTTACCCTGTCAGGACCCCCACAGAGCAGGTACTATTTGGGTGGTGGATCATTCTCAGCACTGCAGTAACACTGACGTGGTGGTGGTGGTGCGTTACTGTGTGTTGTGCTGGTACAAGTGGATCAGACACAGCAGTGCTGCTGGAGTTTTTAAACACTGTGTCCACTCACTGTCCACTCTATTAGACACTCCTAGCTTATTGGTCCACCTTGTAGATGTAAAGTCAGAGACGGTAGCTCATCTGTTGCTGCACAGTTTGTGTTGGTCATCTTCTAGTCCTTTATCAGTGGTCACAGGACGCTACTCACAAGATGCTGTTGGCTGGATAGTTTCGGTTCTCAGTCCAGCAACAACACTGAAGTGTTTAAAACTCCAGCAGCACTGCTGTGTCTGATCCACTCGTACCAGCACAACACACTAACATATCACTACCACAGTGTCACTGCAGTGCTGAGAATGATCCCCCACAGAGTGCTCCTATATGGCAAGGGGAGCTGATAAAATGGACAATGAATGTAGAAACGATGTTATGGGTCATCGGCGTATATCAGTCTTAAAGGCACAGCAACACAACCAACCGGTTTAATTCTAAGGAACACGGAGGGGTAAATAGAAAAAATTGATAATTTATTAGTAATTTTATTAAATGTCATAAGTGGGCCTTGATTTGGCCTCTTATTCGACTTTTCCGTTCCACCTTAAATGGTGCACCATTCACGTCCTGGTGTCAGACTGTTAGAATACCAGAAAGTGAACTGCAGCACCATTTAAGGTGGAACGGAGAAATCGAACAAGACGCTGGAGAATATGGAGGCGCACGGGGTCGTGTTTCCTTCCCCTGAGCCACATCAGCTAATGATGAGGTTAGATGAGTGAGCTGTATCAGTGGAGGCGGACTGAGCTGTAAATGCTGTTACAGAAAACTTATGAATTCAGACTCACCTTCAGGATTTCACCGACAACACAGAGCGAAATGTGTCCGAGCTACGGAAACACGGTTGGACCAAATTACCATCGAAACGAGAAACAGGATTTCGGTGGAAGAAACGCCGAAGTCTGGTCAAACTAAACACTAAGATAATATATATTTATTTATTAATTATTTATATATTTATTTGGGGTTTTATTTATATCAACACATTTATTTACTCTTTAATTTTTAAAATGTTTTTTTTTGTACTCCGGAGGAATATAATGTTTAGGGGACGCTGAATGACTTTACTAGAATATCTGTGTTTTATTCTTTTTACTGCATTTGTAACACTATAGAAATAAAATTTATATTTCATAATGCTAATTCAGATGGATAAAATGGATATTGGAATCGGCCCACAATTCCTATTATACTTTGTTTCTATTGTTGCTTGTAATGGTACGCTTTAAAACATTTATTTATTTATTCATTTATTTATTTACTTACTTACTTACTTACTTACAGGTGACTTTTATTCATCAGCTGATGAAACGGACGTTGCACTTTCGAGACTGTGATTGAACGAGATGGTCAGCAGGTGTCGCTGCAGTTAAGGAATTTGTATTCTCTTTATTTTTATGAGGAAGTGTACAGAAATATAAGTACAGCTTATATGACTGTAAACAAAACAATTTTCAGAGAATATCTGGGTGTAAAATAAGTAGTATGGCTTGTCTTTGCTCTTCAGCTTAGTTTAATTCATTCAGTCCGTCTCATTTTCTACACCCCTGCAGAAAAAACACAGAAACCACTATAATTCCTGTTGGTTCCTGCTGGTGTCCAATATTTAGCAAAGGTGTTTTTTTTTTGTTTGTTTTTTCTGATGGGTTGACATTGTAGTTGACAGTGTAAAGGGATTCCCGATACATTTAATAGTTTCCTAATGGGATCGAATGGTGTCCTACAGGAAACTAGTGGTCTCTAATAATAACAATTAAACCCATTCCCATTAGAAAGGAAAACCATCAGGTTTTTATCCTAATGGTTCTAATGGTCTTTTGTCAGCAGGGATGAAAGGCCTCCTGGCTTTAAATGTTCACATGTAAACCTGTAAGAAGCCATGAGCTAAAATGTAGGCACCAAGCAACTGTATTTAGGCCTTATATCATCTAAACAGGCCTTACATTCCAATTTATTAATGTATATTTATGTATTATTTTATAATTTAGTAATAGACTAGACCAAATTAAGACCTAATTAACTAACAAAAAAATCAATTCCAGAATGAAATTGTGAAAATGTTTGCATATGTGTGTGTTATAGCACTTTCTGTGAATACAGATCATTTTAGGCCTTGAATTTTTTTTTATTTTACTTTTTTTGTTGCCATTTTTTGACAAGTTTTAATCAAAGTAAAAGCCTAACCTTCAGAAAATGTTATTCTTCCACCTCAGGCTTTCAAATCAGAGACTGTTTATTCTAACATGTACAGCATTTTTCACCACCCTGTTACTGGTTTTTAGGGAGATGTATAAATGGCTTTAAAAAGCCTGTGTACATTCAGTTTATTATTTTCTAACAAGAAATACATATATTTATGAAATGCTTTTTGACCTTTTCAGATACAAAATAAAAATCCAAGGTTTTCTTGTTTTCTGTATTTCTAATGTATATGTTAGTCAAAGTCTTTAGAGTTTTTCTTTCTAAACAAGAATTAATGCAATTTTTCTTGCATTAGTACTTTTAACTAATGACTCTTGTTACTACACTTCTGGTAGCAAAACCTACAAATTTAAATGTTTTAAGACTATTATTGTAACAAAAATCATTGAATAACATGGTTGAAACCTGGTTAACAGGGTTTAACACAGAGGTGATATTGCCCATTAAGTTAATATTAATGCAGTTAAAAAAACACAGAAAGTATACAACATCAAGCAGAAGGGATAAGTTAACAAACATTGAAAAATATCAAAGTATCTAAATGTAATCAAAATGTTTTCATTAAAATCTTTGTTTTAAGCCATTTTTGTTTCATTATCATATAAAAAAATTAAAGGTTAAAAAATTTAAATAAGCAAGCATTCAGGAGTGGTTAGCTTGACATGGTTGCACATGTTGTATGCTGACTAATAACCAGATAGTTTACATAATGGTTGAGCGTAACTCATGCAGCCAAATCAATTTTGATGTGAAAATTGAGAAAATAGAATGAGAATAATTACTTGTCTCACGGTCATTCTGCAGAAGGTTTGGGTAACAGGGCTGTGCATAAAATGTGACACAGGTTAAAATGACTTTTTAATTAAATATATATATAAAAAATAGGGAAGAACAATTCTTTTAAGAGTAAATTGTGTGGAAAATGAACCAAATATCATTGTAATTATGGTGTCAATGGAACATTTTTATAAATATATTTCATAGAGAAGTTTAGTGTCAGTGAGGTGGAGCAGCTCAAAATCACTATGTTAAAGGTGGATATAGATCTAGGTGGATCAATACTAATATTAATAATTTTATTTTAAGTTAAAGTACAGATTCCTTCACTTTTCCCAGAAATAAAAAACAAGTCACTTTATTGTTTTCAAAAGGGTAATAAGACATAAATTGAACTCCTTCAGCATTTAATCCTTCAGCAATATGATATGGCTAAAATAAAAATGAATGTGTCAAAAGCTGATTTTATTGATGTGGGCTGAGATGTAATGCAAGTAGGCTGTTTCCAGCTAATGTTAGTGTGCTGATTGTATTTCATTGCTTTGTACAACACTGTGGTAGCCTGATGATTGTTACATTGTTAAAGGGACACTGACCGAAATGATACATGTAACAACTACATCTGCTCTAAATATACTTATTTGCATCCTACAGTGGTGCAGCAGTAGTCTCTTTAGTTTAAAGATTAGGAAAACACTCCTCTGATGATGTGTTTTGAAGGAGAAAGGAATATTTGAAAAACTGTAGCTGCTTTAGGGTGGATTTTTGGGAATTTGCTGTTGAGACCTCTGAAGTCTTGGACATCATTCTGTAGTCTGTGTCATGTCCATGTTAGGAACTCCAGGTCTAAGCTTGTTTTCTCTATGACAAAAACAAATGCTATTTTCCAAAATTGCCGCCCTGTTAAAAACAAAAATGTTCTTTAAGATGATACGTTTTGCTGTACAGACATCTTTTTCTCAGAATGTCACCAGATCCACTGAATGGTCATTAAGGAGCTGAAATGTGACTACTGCTATATGCAAGTTAACACTGCTGCCCACTGAACTGACCTCCTAAGACTGGCAGCCTCATCAAAAAACCCTAAACAAACCAGTGAACTTTGTCAAATGTGGTATTTTGAAGTGTTAGCTTGCTTGTAGCATGGACATAGCAATATTCATGTTTTGACTGCTAAATGCCCTCATGATTCAGAGGATTCAGTGACACTCAGAGGAGAAAATCTTTCAGCTTTGGAGCATTTTTGTTCCCCACAGGATGTGACAGTGGTGATTTTTGCCATACCGAGAAAACAAGCTTTGTTCCTAATATGGCTATGAAGCTAAATACACAATGATTATACAGCTTCAAAGATCAGAAGGAAGACACACAGCTAACGTTACTGCTATCGCTGCTGTAGCAAACTTTAGTATCAGTCTTCAAATCACAATTACAATGGACAGGACAGAATAAAATGACTTGTTAGATGAGGAAGACAACACAGTAAAGATAAGTTAGCATTTTAGCTGGCTATCTAGTAACATTAGTCACTGGCTGAAATGGTAAAAAAAATTGTCTCTGGTGTCCATTTTGTCCTGTATGAAGATTTGGTTCAAAGACTGAGGTAAGAGTTGTAACTAGTAAACGCTAATGCTAGTTTTGTTGTATTTATTAGTCTGTAGATCAGTGGCTAAGCTAGCAGTCAAGATTGGTTGTCACCACAGGGATTCACAGTGGTCATATGATGTATTAGGGGTATTATAGTGAGAGAACAATGATGAAAACGATATAAAATCAGGAGTTCCCTGCTGAACAAAAGAAAAAGCACAGACCAGGAAGCATTTAATGCTGGTCTAAACTGGTCTATGTTAGTCTATGCTGGTTTATGTTGCTTTAGCTAGTCCCTCATGCCGGTTGACCAGCATACCAGCTGGTGGTCAGCATATTAACTTCCATTTCTGCTGTCTAGCATACCAGCATCCAAAACACAGCATACGGTTTTGCTTGTGACCAGCCATGCTGGTCTATGCTGGTTTTTCTGGCGGGGTTCTGAACTGATGAGGCTGAGAGATACAGTGTTGGAGAACAAAATACTGATAATGTGACAAATAGCATATAAAGCTCTGGTTTTAGGCTAGAATGCCCCTTTAAGGTCAAGATTGGCATGAGTTCTTGTCAAGGCTTTAGCCAATATTTTTGTGACAGAAGCTTTTGTTTCTTTTTTTTGTTCCACCGGCAGTCCCACAGTTTTATTACTCACTTCTATTACCTAAGAATAGCTCTGCCAGTTTAATTATTGCATTAATAAAGTTGTAGTTGCTGAATACTAAGCCGTAGTATGTATGAAGCCTGGGATTTTAAGAGGTCAAAACACTTTCTGCTGGCTGAAGGATATGAATGATATGATGCTGGGTAGACTGTGTGTATCTGTGTTGAGGGCAGGGGGCGGAGTGTGAGGCAATAAAAGAAAGTTTAGTGCGGGCTCCCCCACCATGCCAATGCTTCTTCCTAAGTAAGCCATTGTGTTTCCTCTGCGGGGGGCAGTGTAGGTACATTTGTGTGTAGCCGCAGGAGGCTGATGGGCTCCTAATCTGAAGGGCAGTCAGGCTGCGGCCCCTTCAGTGGCTGGCCTGTTCGCTGTCAGACTCGTAAAGGGCAGATTTAAAAGGATCTTGTATGGGTGTGCTTGGATAAACAAACACAGGCTGGACAGTGGTGACATGATCCTCTGGCTTTAGGGACTCAACTCAGGACCTCACACTGTTTTCCTTTAAGCCGTGAGAAGTCCATGAGAATAGGGATCGACTCGGTGGAATACACATCAGCCCCTTTTCTTTTAGGCAAGGTTGTTTTTCAAAGCAGGAGTCTGGCCAAAAACCTAATTTACATGGTTTTTTCCTTGAT